ATGGGGCTGGATTGGGGTCCTAGAAGGGTTATGGGGCTGGATTGGGGTCCTAGAAGGGTTATGGGGCTGGATTGGGTCCTAGAAGGGTTATGGGGATGAATTGGGGTCCTAGAAGGGTTATGGGGCTGGATTGGGTCCTAGAAGGGTTATAGAGCTGGATTGGAGTCCTAGAAGGGTTATGAGCCTGAATTGGATCCTAGATCGGTTATGGGGTTGAATTAGGTTCTAAAAGGCTTATGAGGTTAGACTGGGATCCTAAAAGAGTTATGAGGCTGGATTGGGATGCTAGAAGAGTTACAAGGCTGAATTAGGTCCTATGGGGCTGAATTGGACCCTGAAGAGTTATGGGACTGAATTAGGTACTATGTGGCCGGATCAGGGTCCTAGAAAGGTTATGGGGCTGGACTGGGGTCCTAAAAGGGTTATGGGGCTGCATTAGGGTCTCATAGAGCTAGGTTGGGTCTTTCAAAAGTGTACTGAACATTGTAAGACTAAATTGGTTACGGGGGCTGAATTGACTCCTTAAAAAGTTATGAGACTCAATTGGGTGCCGTGAGACTGGATTGGGGTCCTAGAAAGGTTATAGGGCTGGACTGGGGTCCTAAAAGGGTTATAGGGCTGGACTGGGTTCCATGGGACTGGACTGGGGTCCCAGAAGAATGTATTAAAGCTTACAAGGCTGAATTGGAGTCCTGCAAACCTATAAAAGCATATTCAGGGCCATGGGGCTGGATTGGGATCCTATAAAGGTTATGAGGCTGGATTGGGATCCTAAGGGCAGAACTGGATGCCACAGGGCTGTGTCCCCCTCCCCGGACCCCCGGGGGGCTCTGCCCGGCTCTGGGGACCCCCCAGCCCCCCCAGACCCACCGAGCTGCTCGAGCATCTTGTCGCACTCGTCCAGGATGAAGTGTTTGATGTGTTTGAGGTTGAGGCTCTTGTTCCGCGCCAGCGCCAGGATCCGGCCCGGGGTGCCCACCACGATGTGGGGGCAGTTCTTCTTCAGCACCTCCTCGTCCTTCTTGATGGACAGCCCCCCAAAAAACACTGCCACCTGCACGGCGGGGGGACAGCTGTACCCCAAAACCGAACAACATCCCGCCCAGGGACCCCCCAATTGATGGACAACCCCCAAAAAACACTGCCACCTGCACGGGGAGACCACGGTGAGACCCGCCCTGCACCCCAAAACCAACCCACTGATGCACAGCCCCCCAAAAAACAACCCCACCTGCACGGGGGGGGGACAGCTGTACCCCAAAACCGAACAACATCCCGCCCAGGGACCCCCCAATTGATGGACAGCCCCCCAAAAAACACCGTCACCTGCACGGGGAGATGGTGGTGAGACCTGCCCTACACCCCAAAACCAACCCACTGACGGACAGCCCCCCAAAAATCACCACCACCTGCATGGGGAGATGGTGGTGAGACCCGCCCTGCACCCCAAAACCAACCCACTGATGCACAACCCCCAAAAAACAACCCCACCTGCACGGGGGGGGGACAGCTGTACCCCAAAACCGAACAACATCCCACCCAGGGACCCTCCAATTGATGGACAACCCCCAAAAAACACCTCCACCTGCACCTTAAAACCCATGAGGATCCCTCCAGCACACCCCGAACCCTTCCACAGCCTCCCTGGGACCCCCCAAACCCCTCAGGATCCCACTGAAACCCCCCCGAGCTTCCCTAGGGCCCCCCAAGCCCCCCCAGCCCCTCACCTTAACACTGGGCATGTACTTGGAGAAGCGCTCGTACTCCTTGCTGATCTGGAAGGCGAGCTCCCGCGTGTGACACATCACCAGCACCGACACCTGGGGGGCACGAGGGGCTCAAGAGAACCCTGGAACGCCCCTGGGAACCCCCTGAGGGGGCACAGAGCCAGGGGAAACCCCCCCAGATACCCACGGGGGGCTCAGAGCCCTGGAACCCCGCTGGGACCCCCAAAGCCCCCCAAAGCCCCTCACCTGCCCCGTGACGGGCTCCAGCTGCTGCAGGGTGGCCCTGGGACCCCCCTGGGACCCCCAAAGCCCCTGTCCCCCCCTCACCTGCCCCGTGACGGGCTCCAGCTGCTGCAGGGTGGCCCTGGGACCCCCTGGGACCCCCAAAGCCCCTGTCCCCCCCTCACCTGCCCCGTGACGGGCTCCAGCTGCTGCAGGGTGGCCCTGGAGCCCCCAAAGCCCCTGTCCCCCCTCACCTGCCCCGTGACGGGTTCCAGCTGCTGCAGGGTGGCCCTGGAGCCCCTGGAGCCCCCAAGCCCCTGTCCCCCTCACCTGCCCCGTGACGGGCTCCAGCTGCTGCAGGGTGGCCCTGGAGACCCCCAAAGCCCCTGTCCCCCCCTCACCTGCCCCGTGACGGGCTCCAGCTGCTACAGGGTGGCCCTGGAGCCCCCTGGAGCCCCCCTGGAGCCCCCCAAAGCCCCTCACCTGCCCCGTGACGGGCTCCAGCTGCTGCAGGGTGGCCAGCACGAACACGGCCGTCTTGCCCATGCCGGACTTGGCCTGGCACAGCACGTCCATGCCCAGGATGGCCTGTGGGATGCACTCGTGCTGCACTGCAGGCACAGGAGGGGCGGTCAGTGGTGCCAGGGACCCCCCAGACACCCCCCAGCGGCTCAGCACCCGGGGGTGCGGTGGGGGAGAGTCATAAACCAAATAACCCCCCCAACGGTGCCCCCCCCTCACCTTCGGAGGGGTGCTCGAAGCCGCAGTCGACGATGGCCCGGAGCAGCTCTGGCTTGAGCAGGAAATCCCGGAAGCCCGAGCTGTGGATGGACACGTAGGAGCCCTTCACGTCCTTCTTGGGGGGGGCCTCGGCGCCGTCGGCCCCCGCCGCGTTCTCCACCTCGTCGTCCTCATAGTCCAGCAGCTCGTTGTCCACGTCGTTCTCCGCCATCCTCACGGCTGGGGGGCACAGCGGCGTCGGCAAGGGGGGCCAGGGCACTGGCAGCACCTCAGGAACACCAGGAATGGGGGAATCAGGGCACTGGCAGCACCCCAGGAACATCGGGAACATCAGGAATGGGGATTTGGGGAACTGTCAGCACCCCAGGAACACCAGGAACATCAGGAATGAGGGATTTAGGGAACTGTCAGCACCCCGGGAATGTCAGAGCCCAGGAACATCAGGAATGGGGGACTCAGGGAACTGTCAGCACCCCAGAACATCAGGAACATCAAGAATGGGGAACTCAAGGAACTGTCAGCACCCCAGGAACACCAGGAACATCAGGAATGGGGGATTTGGGGAACTGTCAGCACCCCAGGAACATCAGGAATGGGGGAATCAGGGGACTGTCAGCACCCCAGGAACATCAGGAACAAGGGATTTGGGGAACTGTCAGCACCCCAGGAACATCAGGAATGAGGGATTTGGGGAACTGTCAGCACCCCAGGAACATGAAGAACATCAGGAACACCAGGAATGGGGGAATTAGGGGACTGTCAGCACCCCAGGAACACCAGGAACACCAGAAACACCAGGAATGGGGGATTTGGGAAACTGTCAGCACCCCAGGAACACCAGGAACATCAGGAATGGGGGATTTGGGGAACTGTCAGCACCCCAGGAACACCAGGAATGGGGGACTCAGGGGACTGTCAGCACCCCAGGAACATCAGGAACACCAGGAATGGGGGACTCAGGGGACTGTCAGCACCCCAGGAACATCAGGAACATCAGGAATGAGGGATTTAGGGAACTGTCAGCACCCCGGGAATGTCAGAGCCCAGGAACATCAGGAATGAGGGATTTGGGGAACTGTCAGCACCCTGGGAGCACCAGGAATGTGGGAACACCAGGAATGGGGGACTTGGGGAGCTGTCAGCACCCTGGGAGCACCAGGAGCCCAGAAATGTCAGGAATGTGGGAATCAGGCAACTATCAGGGCCGGTACTACAGGACTACCAGGACTATGGGACCACCGGGACACATCCCCCCCCCAAAAGGGACCTGTGCAGGGTCAGCACCCCGGGACCACCAGGAGCATGGGAACACCAGAATAATGGGACCACCAGCCCAGGAACACCAAAAACCACGGAACCACCAGTGCCATGGGGCCATCAGGACTATGGCACCACCAGTGCCATGGGACCACCGAGACCCATCACCCCCAAAAAGGGACCAGGGCAGGGTCAGCACCCCGGGACCACCAGGACCCCAAAGGTACCCCCAGGGCACCCCCGACCCCACGAGGAGCCCCAGACACCCACCAGAGCCTCTATGGACCCCCTGCCCCAAAAACACCCCAACACCACCACCCCCCAACCCAAAAGGGCACCCTGGAACGTGGGGACCCCATCCCTGCACAGCAGACCCCAGACCCGGTCCCTCTCCACCTGGGACCCCCATCCCTGCACAGGAGACCCCAAACCCGGTCCCTCCCCACCTGGGACCCCCATCCCTGCACAGCAGACCCCAAACCCGGTCCCCTCCCGCCACAAAGGGCGCTGGGACCCCCACCCCCGCCCAGGGGGCCGCAAACCGCGAGCCCGCTCTCCCCACAAGCCCCCGGTGGTCGCCGCCCCCGGTGTCCCCCCAGCCCCTCCCGCTCCCTCTCTCCCCTCCCTCACGAACCCCCGGCGCCGCCATCTTGGCGCGCACAACGGGCGGGCGGCTCCGGCGCTCCCGCGCGCGGCGGGGGCGGCCTGGGGACCCGCAGCCGGGCACGGGGGCGCGGGGGCTGCGGGGACGCGCGGGGGACCCGCGATGGGCGGCGGGGGCGGCGATGGCGGCGGATGCAGGACCGGCCCGGCCCGACTCACCCCGAGCGCTGCGACCGCCGCGACCGACCGGGCGGGGCCTGCCGTCACTTCCGGCGGGGCCGCCCCGCCCCCGGGCTGCCCTCGGCACCGCCTGAACCTGCCCCGGCACCGGCGCGGCCCCCGCGCCCCGCTCCGCCGCTCCCCCGCGCTCCCCCGCGGCTCCCGCGCGGCCCCGCCGCCCCCCGGTGCCCCGCGACCCCCTAAACCCTCCCTGGGGTCCCGCACCTCCGCTCGGGCACCGCGCAGGCCGCTCCCACCGCGGGGTCCTCGCGCTCCCGCCTTCGCGGCTCCCGCCCCCGCCGCGCGCGTCGCTATGGCGACGCTGTTCCCGCCGCTCTGGCCCCGCCCACGGCGATGACGCCACGCGGCGCTCGGCCAATCGGAGTGTTTATTCCGCTCAGGGCCCGCCCTCCAGGCTGATGGTGGCCAATGAGACGCTCTCGGTGGAGAGGCTCCGCCCCTTCTCGTAGATGACGTAGAGCAGCGGCGCGCGGTCCCCCTCGCCAGGGGGCGGGGCCGCCAGGGCGGAGTAGCCGCTCGGCCCCGCCCACACGCGCAGGCCCCGCCCCCACCACGTGGCGCCGCCGTCGAAGCTCCAGCGCAGGGTCAGGTTCACCCCTGGGGAGGGCGTTAGGGACATCAGGGACACCCCGAGCCCTCCAGAGCTCCCAGAGCCCCCTCAGGTCCTCCCGGACACCACGGATTGCCCCCTGTCCCACCCATATCCCCACCCATGTCCCCCTCTATGCTTCCCTCGTGTCCCCCATATCCCCACCCATGTCCCCACCCCATGTCCCCAACCATGTCCCCTCTCAATCGTCCCCCTGTGTCCCCTCATATCCCCACCCATATCCCCACCCATGTCCCCAACCATGTCCCCCTCAATCTTCCCCGTGTCCCTCCATATCCCCCCATGTCCCCTTTAATCTTCTCTTGTGCCCCCATATCCCCACCCATGTCCCCACTCCATGTTTCCCCTCAATCTTCTCCTGTGATCCCCCATATCTCCCCTATCCCCATGTCCCCATCCATATCCCCATCCATGTCCCCCTTTAATCTTCTCCTGTGATCCCCCATATCCCCACCCATGTTCCCCTCAACCTTCTCCTGTGTCCCCCCATCTCCACCCATGTTCCCCTCATTCTTTCCGTGTCCCCCCCATATCCCCACCCATGTCCCTCTTTAATCTTCTCTTGTGCCTCCCATATCCCCACCCATGTTCCCCCTCATTCTTCCCCTATGTCCCCCATCTCACCTCCTTGTCCCCCTCAATCTTCCCCCATGTCCCCCATATCCCCACCCATGTCCCCCCTCAATCTTCGTCCGTATCCCTCCCTTGTCCCCCTATATCCCCCTAATATCTTCCCCTGTGTCCCCCATGTCACCCCATATCCCCCATGTCCCCCTCAATCTTCCCCTGTGTCCCCCCAAATCCCCCATATCCCCTCAATCTTCCCCTGTGTCCCCCCCGTGCCCCCCCCTCACTGTCGCTCTCGTGGGCGGGGTTGCTGAAGAACAGGACCCCCTGTGTGAGCAGGACCCCCGCGGCCACGGCGGGGTCGGGCAGGGCGGGGTCGAAGGTGACGGCGTCGGGGGGCAGCGTGTCCCCCCCGTCCCAGCTGCGGGCCACCATGCGGCAGCGGCAGCGGTACGAGCCCTGGTTGCGGATGCTCACGCCCAGGGACCCGTCGGGCAGCTCGTACGGCTGGGGGGGGATAAAGGAGGGGTGAGAGGGTCAAATCCCCTCGGGCAGCAAAACCCCCCCCCGGGACCACCCGGCTCGCCCCCAAGGTCTGAGCACGACCCGCACCCACCCCCAGCACCTGGGACCCCCCAGATGGGAGGGACCCCCCCACACCCATCCATGAACTCCTGAGCCCCCAGGAGCCCCCCTCCAATTCCCAGAGTCCATCTCCGGATTCCTGCGCCCCAGGAGACCCCTATTGCCCCCACCCCCAAATTCCCAGAGCCCCCCGTACCTGGCACTCGTCGGGGGTGAAGTCGTGGGGTGCCGGGGGCCCGAAGAGGATGGCGGGCAGGACCCCCTGCGCCAGGAGGCCCCCCGTCGTCGCTGAGCAGCAGCGAGACCCCGTCCCGCTCCAGGGTGCCGTGGCCGCAGAACACCAGGCGGCCCCGGAACGGGGTCTCTGCTTCTGGGGGGAGAACAGAGGAGTGAGACCCCCAGGACCTCCTGACTCCCCAGGAAACCCCCAAAATCCCCCAAACTGCCTGGATGCCGCTGCCGGGCCGGCGCGAAGACCTCCCCACGACCCCCGAGAGGTTCTGGGGGTCCCCAGGAGCGGCCCCCGTCGCGGCTGCGCAGCAGGAGGGTGGCGGGGGCCCGCAGGGCTGGGGGTGGGCCAGCGGGCGAAGAGCAGCAGCACCTCGGGCCCCACGCTCAGCAGGGCCCCAAATTCAGCCCGTCCCCCAGCCGTCGTCGGCCGCCACCTCCGTGGGGCCCCACGTGGCTCCTGGGGAGGGGAGGGGGAAACGGTCAGAGACAGCCCCCCAGCAGAGACCCCCAGAGACACCCCCAATCTCCCCAGAGACCCCTCAGGTGCTCCCCCGGCCCTCCCCAAAACCTCCCACACCCCCAGACCCTCCCAGAGCCCCCTCAGGGTCCCTCCTGCCCCTGAGGATCCCCCAGGGCCCCCATAGACCCCAGGGACTCCTCCAGCCACCCCAGGAACCCCAGAGACCCCTCAGGGACCCTCAGGACTCCTCAGGATCCCCAGGGACCCCCAGTCTCCCTCAGGGACCCCTCAGGGACCCCAGAACCCCCTCAGGGGCCCCTCCAGTCCCCCAATCTCCCCCAGAGACCCCTCAGGGACCCCCATGACCCCCTCAGGGACCTCCTCAGGGGCCCCTCCAGCCCCCCAGTCTCCCCCAGAGACCCCTCAGGGACCCCCAGGAACCCCCAGCCTCTCTAATGTCCCCCAGAGACCCCTCAGAGAGCCCCCAGCCCCCCAGTCTCCCTCAGGGACCCCCAGCCCCTCCAGGCCCCCAGTCTCCCCAGAGACCCCTCAGGGACCCCCAGCCCCTCCAGCCCCCCAGTCTCCCCCAGGGACCCCTCAGGGACCCCCAGCCCCTCCAGCCCCCCAGTCTCCCCAGGGACCCCCACCTCCGTCAGGGGAACGGCGGCAGGCGATGACTTTGGCCCCCACGTCTCCCGCCGAGCGTTTCCTGCCCTCGGCGCAGGCCAGCAGGGCCCCCCGGGCGTGGCGACCACCAGGGGCACGCGGAGGTGTGGACCCCCGCGGCCCTCCCCGCTCACTCCACAGCACCTGCTCCCGCACCACCCGCGGCCGCACCTGGGGGCACACGGGGGGTCAGGGGGTATGGGGGTCTGGGGGCAGAAAGTGGGGGAGGGTCCCAGGGGTGAGGGGGGTCGAGGGGGAGGAGAGGGGCAACAACGGGGGGCTCTGGGGGTTATGGGGCTGGGGGACATTGGGGGTGTCAGAGAGGGGGCACCACCGAAACCCCCAGAGGAGTGTCCCAGTGCTGGGGGGTCAGTGGAGGGGTCCCTTGTCCCCCCCACCCCGTACCGTGTCGGGGGTCAATGGGGGGGTCAGTGGGGGTCAGTGGGTGCCCTCCCCGTACCGTGTCGGGGGTCAGTGGGGGTCAGTGGGTGCCCTCTCCCCGTACCGTGTCGGGGGTCAGTGGGGGTCGGTGGGTGCCCCTCCCCCGTACCGTGTCGGGGTCAGTGGGGTCGGTGGGTGCCCTCCCCCGTACCGTGTCGGGGGTCAATGGGGGGGTCAGTGGGTGCCCCCTCCCCCCCGTACCGTGTCGGGGGTCAGTGGGGGGTCGGTGGGTGCCCCCTCCCCCCCGTACCGTGTCGGGGGTCATTGGGGGTCGGTGGGTGCCCCTCCCCCGTACCGTGTCGGGGTCAATGGGGGCTCAGTGGTGCCCTCCCCGTACCGTGTCGGGGTCAGTGGGTGCCCTCCCCGTACCGTGTCGGGGGTCACTGGGGTCAGTGGTGCCCTCCCCCGTACCGTGTCGGGGGCCAGTGGGTGCCCCTCCCCCGTACCGTGTCGGGGGTCAGTGGGGGGGGTCAGTGGGTGCCCCCTCCCCCCCGTACCGTGTCGGGGGTGGGCTGCCAGCGCCCCGCGGCCCCCACCGCGAGCAGCAGCGGCGGCAGCAGCGCCCGGAGCATCGCGGCCCCTTTAAGAGAACCCGGAAGTGTCACCGGCGACGGCCCCTCCCCCATCGGCGGGGCACGTGACCGCCGCGAGGGCGGGGCCTGCGCTTAAAACGGCAGCGGGGCCCAGGTCGTTTTACTCTTAAAACGGCAACGACAGCGCGAGGGGTCCGCGCAACCGTAAATCGGTTTTAATGGTCTTTTGTTAAATATAAATTAACTAAATAAAGATAAATTAACTAAATGAAATAATAAATTAACTAAATACAATAATTTTCTTACAAAACAGTTTAACTGAATAATCTAATTGTATAATTTTACTACTACTTTTATCTAATTCTTAGTTATAAATACTTAGAATTATATAATATCTGCATTTTGTTTTTATCTTACTGTAAGTTAAATAACAAAATTTTGTTCTTTCTTTTATTTTTATCGCATGGGGGCGGAGTCCGCTCTTAAAAGGGCAACACCACGCATAGGGCCCACACATAAACCCCATCAGTAAAAATAAATGTATTTTACTGCTTTTATCATTTTTATTGCTTTATTGCACTTTTGTTGCTCCCACACAAAATGGGGAGACCCCCCCCGGCCCGCGGGGGGGCGGGGCTAAGGCGGGGCCACACCCACAACGGTGCCGTTTGAAGGGGCGGGGGCTGATGTGGCCCCTCCCCCTCACCGGGATGGGCGTGGCTGAACGAGGGTCACGCCCCTTGGGCCACCCCGGGGCATCCTGGGAAGGGTCCGCTCAGGGCTCGGCCAATCGCAGGAGGGGACCCGCGGGGGTGGGGACACTGCAGGGGGAGGGGGGGGTTACAGGGGGGTCACTGAGGGGTCAGGGGTCACCCAGGGGTCACTGAGCGTCCCAGGGTGGTCCCATGGCGGGGGGGGGTCGGTACCTGAGCAGCTCCTGCGCCCCCAGCAGGTCGTGCAGCAGGAACGGGACCCCCAGGCGGGCGCCCGGGGGGGGCTTCGCCCTCTGCAGCTCCCGCAGCGGAACCTCCCGGTGCCGCGAGCGCCGCACCACCGACAGCAGGGCCCGGCGGCCTGGGGGGCACGGGGGGGTCACTGGAGGGGCAGGGACCCTTGGGAACACCCCCGGGGTAAGGGGGGCTCAGGGGGGGTCTGGGGGTCCCACTCACCCCTCAGCAGGGCCCGCACGAAGCGCCCGACCCCCGGCACGGCCAACCACCAACTGCCGGCGTCCCGCACCGTGAGCACCCCCGAGACCACCAGCTGCCTGGGGGGGCATGGGGGGAACATCAGCACCCCCGAGACCAACAACTGCCTGGGGGGGCATGGGGGGAACATCAGCACCCCCAGACCATTGACTGCCTGGGGGGGAACATCAGCACCCCCAGACCACCAGCTGCCTGGGGGTACAGGGGGGGCTTATCAGCACCCCCAGACCACCAGCTGCCTGGGGGGGCATGGGGGGAACATCAGCACCCCCGAGACCACCAGCTGCCTGGGGGGGCACAGGGGGGGCTTATCAGCACCCCCAGACCACCAGCTGCCTGGGGGGGGAACATCAGCACCCCCAGACCACCAGCTGCCTGGGGGACATGGGGGACATCAGCACCCCCAGACCACCAGCTGCCTGGGGGGGCACAGGGGGGGGTCACATCAGCATCCCCCAGACCACCAACTGCCTGGGGGGGTCACATCAGCACCCCCAGACCACCAGCTGCCTGGGGGGGACATGGGGGGAACATCAGCATCCCCCAGACCACCAGCTGCCTGGGGGGGCATGGGGGGAACATCAGCACCCCCAGACCACCAACTGCCTGGGGGGGTCCCAAACCCGCTCCAGGCTGTCCCCAGCCCCCAACCCCCAGCCCCCAGGCCGTGCGTGACGTCGCTGTCCCCGAAGCCCAGGCTCTCCATCCTGCCCCGGTCGTAGCTCAGCTCCGGCGTCGCCGCCACCGCCTCGTCCAGGAAGCGCCGCACCAGCCCCTCCCGGGGGGTCCCAGCCACGGCCTGCAGGGCCTGGGGGGGCACGGGGGTCAGAGGGTCACTGAACCCCCCCAACCACCCCCCCAAACCCATCCATGCACCTTGTCCCGGTACAGCTCCGTCCTCACCACGCCCAGTGCGTCGGGGCCCAGCCCCAGGTGCAGCAGCCGCACCTGCCCCTCGTCCCGCAGCCGGTTCTGGGGGCACACGGGGTCGGTGTCGGGTCGGGGGGGCTCAGGGCGGTCCCCAGCCCCCCCCGGGGCTCACCAGGTGCCGGTCCACGGCCGTGCGGTCCCGCACCACGTCGTAGAGCTGGTGCCGCAGCAGCAGCGGGGGCAGCGCGTCCCCGAAGAGCCCCCGCGGGAACAGCGCCCACACGGCCGCCAGCGCCGCATCCACGGACACGGGGCTGCCTGCGGGGCGCGGGGCGTGAGACCCCCGGGACGCACCCCCGAGAGACCCGGGACGCACCCCCGAGAGACCCGGGATGCACCGGGGACACCCCCGAGGGATCCGGGATGCACCGGGGACACCCCCAAGGGATCCGGGACACACCGGGGACACCCCCACAGAGACCCGGGATGTACCGGGGACATCCCCACAGAGACCCGGGATGTACCGGGGACACCCCCACAAAGACCCGGGACAGACCGGGGACACCCCCACAGAGACCCGGGATGCACCGGGGACATCCCCAACAGACCCGGGACACACCCGGGACATCCCCAGAAGATCCAGAACACACCGGGACCCACCAGGACCCCCCCACAGAGACCAGGGACTCCCCACAGCCCCGGGACCCCCGGAACACCCCTGGGACCCTCTGGAACCCTCCGGGACCCCCCAGAGCCCCGGGACCACCGGGACACTCCTGGTACCCCCCCATGAGCCCCGGGCCCACTGGCACACCCCCGGGACCCTCCGGAACCCCCCAGAGCCCCGGGACACCCCCGGGACCCTCCGCCTGTCCCCGGCCCCCACCGAGAGCCGCCCCCGGGGCCCCCCCACGGTACCATCGGGGCTCGGCCCCTGCCCGGGCAGCTCCGGGCGGCGCCGCTTGGCCCCGAGGGCGATGCCGGTGCCCCCCAGGGCGATGCCGGTGCCCCCGAGGCGGCGGCGACGGCTCATGGATGGGGGAACCGGGACGGCGCGCCGTGATGACGTCACTGCACCGCGACACCGGGAGGCACCCCGGGCGGCGGGGACTGAACCATTTGGAACCGATGGGGGGGGTTCGTGAGGACTGAACCATGTGGGCAATGGGGGAGGCCTGCAATGAATGGGGCCAATGTGGGGGGGTGAATGGGCCAAACCACGTGAGATAACGGGTAGGGCGGCCTGAACCACGTGAGATAACGGGGGAGGTTGATGGAGTTGGACAAAACCACGTGGAGCCACAGGGGACGTTGGACTGAACCACGTTGAGCCGTGGGGCGGTGGGACAGAAGCACGTGGAGCCGGAGGGGGGTCGGACCGAACCAGGCGCAGCGCGGGGGGGTCCCCGCCCCCTTTATTGGGTGTAGAGGCTGGCGGCGAAGACGATGTCCCGCTTGATCATGGCGGCCGCCGCCTCCATCTTGGCGGCCAGCGCCGGGTCCCCCACGACGCGCCCGGCCTGGCGCAGCTCCCGCAGCAGCTCCTCCAGCCGCTGGATCGCCCGCACCACCGTCCCCTCCTGCACCGGCGCCAGCCGCGCGATGTCCGCGAAGGGCTGGGGGACACGGGGACGGGGGCTCAGGGGACCACCAGGGACCACCAGGGACCACCAGAGACCACCACCCCCTCCTGCACCAATGATGTGTGTGAAGGGCTGGGGGACACGGGGACGGGGGGATCAGGGAACAACAGGGACCACCAGGGACCACCACCCCCTCCTGCACCAGCCATGGGTGTGAAGGGCTGGGGGACACGGGGACGGGGGGATCAGGGAACAACAGGGACCACCAGGGACCACCAGGGACCACCACCCCCTCCTGCACCAATGATGTGTGTGAGGGGCTGGGGGACACGGGGACGGGGGCTCAGGGAACAACAGGGACCACCAGGGACCACCAGGGACCACCACCCCCTCCTGCACCAATGATGTGTGTGAGGGGCTGGGGGACACGGGGACAGGGGCTCAGGGACCGCCAGAGACCACCAGAGACCACCAGGGACCACCACCCCCTCCTGCACCAATGATGTGTGTGAAGGGCTGGGGGACACGGGGACGGGGGCTCAGGGAACAACAGGGACCACCAGGGACCACCAGGGACCACCACCCCCTCCTGCACCAGCAATGCCCACAAAGGGCTGGGGGACACGGGGACAGGGGCTCAGGGAACAACAGGGACCACCAGGGACCACCGTCCCCTCCTGCACCAATGATGTGTGTGAGGGGCTGGGGGACACGGGGACAGGGGCTCAGGGACCACCAGAGACTACCAGAGACCACCAGGGACCACCACCCCCTCCTGCACCAGCCATGTGTGTGAAGGGCTGGGGGACACGGGGACGGGGGCTCAGGGAACAACAGGGACCACAAGGGACCACCAGAGACCACCAGGGACCACCACCCCCTCCTGCACCAGCAATGCCCAAAAAGGGCTGGGGGACACGGGGACAGGGGGCTCGGGGAACAACAGGGACCACCACCCCCTCCTGCAGCAGCCATGTGTGTGAAGGGCTGGGGGACACGGGGACAGGGGGCTCAGGGAACAACAGAGACCACCAGGGACCACCACCCCCTCCTGCACCAGCCATGTGTGTGAAGGGCTGGGGGACACAGGGACAGGGGGCTCAGGGAACAACAGGGACCACCAGAGACCACCAGGGACCACCACCTCCTCCTGCACCAATGATGTGTGTGAAGAGCTGGGGGACACGGGGACAGGGGGCTCAGGGACCACCAGGGACCACCAGGGACCACCCCCCCCTCCTGCACCAATGATGTGTGTGAACGGCTGGGGGACAGCGGGGGTCTGGGGGGGTCTCGGGGGTCTCACCATGCCACGGGCCCACTCGTAGACCACCTGGACGAGGCTGAAGCCGAACTGGGCCACGAAGTCGTCGGGGCCGGGCCCGAGGCCGTGCTCCTGCTCCAGCCGCCCCACGCGGGCAGCCACGCCCCGGAGCCGCTCCAGGGCCTGGGGGGACACGGGGAGGGACCCCCAGGTCAGGGACCCCTCACTCCAGCTGCCCCACACGGGCAGCCACGCCCCGGAGCCGCTCCAGGGCCTGGGGGGACATGGGGAGGGACCCCCAGGTCAGGGACCCCTCACTCCAGCCGCCCCCACGGGCAGCCACGCCCGGAGCGCTCCAGGGCCTGGGGGACACGGGAGGGACCCCCAGGTCAGGGACCCCTCACTCCAGCCCAGATCCTGCTCCCCCACCCTACAGATACCTGGGGGACCCCTCACCCCGGGTGGACCACCCCCCAGACCCCCATCCCGGAGCGTTCCCCCACAAAGCCCCCCAGTGTCTCGGGTCCCCCAGCCCACCCTGGGGGTACCTGTGTGAGGGGCACGGGGAGCCCCTCGGGCAGGGCTTCCCCGCGGCCGGGGGTGACGAGGCAGGACAGCAGGGCCACGCTCTCCTCGGGCCGCAGCGGGGCCAGGACGTTGCCGAGCAGCAGCTCCGTCAGCACCAGCTGCTCCGTGCTCAGCAGGGCGGCCACGCGGCCCCCAGGCCACCGCGCCCCCCGAGATGTACCCCAGCTCTGTCAGCACCTGGGGGGACACGGGGGAGTCAGGGGGACCCCAAAATGTACCCCAGCTCTGTCAGCACCTGGGGGGACAGGGGGGAGTCAGGGGGACCCCAAAATGTACCCCAGCTCTGTCAGCACCTGGGGGCACAGGGGGGAGTCAGGGGGACCCCAAAATGTGCCCCAGCTCTGTCAGCACCTGCGGGGGCTCAGGGGAACCCCAAAATGTACCCCAGCTCTGTCAGCACCTGCGGGGACATGGGGGGAGTCAGGGGGACCCCAAAATGTACCCCAGCTCTGTCAGCACCTGGGGGGACAGGGGGGAGTCAGGGGGACCCCAAAATGTACCCCAGCTCTGTCAGCACCTGGGGGACACGGGGAGTCAGGGGACCCCAAAATGTGCCCCAGCTCTGCCAGCACCTGGGGCACTGGGGGAGCAGGGGACCCCAGAATGTACCCCAGCTCTGTCAGCACCTGGGCGGGGGCTCAGGGGAACGCCACAACGTACCCCAGCTGCTGTCAGACACCTGGGGGACACGGGGGAGTCAGGGGGACCCCAAAATGTACCCCAGCTCTGTCAGCACCTGGGGAGGGTCAGGGGAACCCCAAAATGTACCCCAGCGTCAGGGGGACCCCAAAATGTACCCCAGCTCTGTCAGCACCTGGGGGGACAGGGGGGACTCTGTCAGCACCTGAGGACACGGGAGTCAGGGGACCCTAAATGTACCCCAGCTCTGTCAGCACCTGCGGGGACACGGGGAGCCAGGGGACCCTAAAATGTACCCCAGCTCTGGGTCTCAAGCACCTGCGGGGACAGGGGGAGTCAGGGGGACCCAAATGCCCTGTGCTCTGTCAGCACCTGGGGAACAGGGGAGTCAGGGGACCAAATGTACCCCAGTTCTGTCAGCACCTGTGGGGGACATGAGGGGAGTCAGGGGGACCCCAAAATGTACCCCAGCTCTGTCAGCACCTGGAGGGACACGGGGGAGTCAGGGGGACCCCAAAATGTACCCCAGCTCTGTCAGCACCTGGGGAACAGGGGGAGTCAGGGGGACCCCAAAATGTACCCCAGCTCTGTCAGCACCTGGGGGAACATGGGGGGAGTCAGGGGGACCCCAAAATGTACCCCAGTTCTGTCAGCACCTGTGGGGGACATGAGGGGAGTCAGGGGGACCCCAAAATGTACCCCAGCTCTGTCAGCACCTGGGGGGACACGGGGGGAGTCAGGGGACCCCAAAATGTACCCCAGGTCCGTCAGCACCTGGGGTGGGTCATAGAGACCCCAAAATGTGCCCCAGCTCCGTCAGCACCTGGTGCAAGGACAGGAGGTGTCAGGGTGGTCCCGGGCAGGTTTGGGGTGCAAGAGAAGTCCCAGGGGGGTTCTGGGGGTACAAGGGAAGTCCCAGGGGGGTTTTGGGGTACAAGGGAAGTCTGGGGGTTTTGGGGTACAAGGGAAGTCCGGGGGTTTGGGGGTACAAGGAAGTCCCAGGGGGTGTGGGGTACAAGGGAAGTCCGGGGGTTTTGGGGTACAAGGGAAGTCCGGGGGTTTGGGGGTACAAGGGAAGTCCGTGGGGTTTTGGGGTACAAGGGAAGTCCGGGGGTTTTGGGGGTACAAGGAAGTCCGGGGGTTTTGGGGTACAAGGAAGTCCGGGGGTTTTGGGGTACAAGGGAAGTCCGTGGGGTTTTGGGGGTACAAGGGAAGTCCGGGGGTTCTGGGGGTACAAGGGAAGTCCCAGGGGGGTTTTGGGGTACAAGGGAAGTCCGGGGGTTTGGGGTAAAAGGGAAGTCCGGGGGGGTTTTGGGGGTCCCGGGATCCCCACCTCGAGGCGCTGGTGGTACTCGGGCAGCAGCAGCAGGGACTGGTCCGACAGCTGGAACTGGAGCTCCTCCAGCTGCTCCAGCAGCTCCTGCCGCGCGGCGAACTGGGCGTACTGGGGTGGGGGGGACGGGCAGGAGGGTCAGGGGTCCCCAAAGCCCTCAGGGCCCCCGGAGCCCCCTGCCCGTACCTGCTGCGGGAAGCGGGGGCTGTGGACGCAGCGGAAGGAGCGCAGGGACCCCCCCAGCGCCCGCAGCTCGGCCGCCGCCGCCACCGCCTCGGGGTCCCGGCCCGGGGGCACCCCCAGACCCTCCAGCAGGGGCAGCCCCCCGTCCTTGGGGGCCCCCCCCGCCAGCCGGGCCAGCTCCTGCACCGCTGCCCCCACCCCTGCCCCGGGGGGGGGGGACCTGGGGGGGAAAAAGGGGGGTCAGGGTGGTCCCACAGCACAGGGGAGACCCCCTGGCACCCCCAAAATGGCCCAACATCCAGGGACCTCCCAGAACCTGAATGGGACAGCCCCTCCCCAGGACCCCAACATCCACAGGGACCTCCCCCAGAACCCCAAAATGGGGGACAGCCCCTCCCCAGGACCCCAACATCCACAGGGACCTCCCCAGGACCCTGAAATGGGGGACAGCCCCTCCCTAGGACCCCAAAATGGGGGAGAGCCCCTCCTCAGGACCCCAATATCCACAGGGACCTCCCCCAGGACCCCGAAATGGGGGAGAACCCCCCAAAACGGGGCCACCCCCCCCTCCCAGGGGATACCCAAATGGGGAAGGAACTGCCCCCAAAACCCCACCAGCCAAAGAAACCCCCCAAATACCCCAAAATTCTAAAGAGCTCCCCCTCCTCATGGCCCTCAAAATCAGGGACACCCCCCTGCCACCCCAGAAAACACCATCACACTCTGATACAGCTCTGGGAACCCCAAAATCCACCCAAGGGACCCAAATTCCCCTCCACAGACCCCTGATATCCTCAGGAACCCCCATTTCCCCCCAGGGACCCCCGTACCGGGGCCGGGGTCCCCTGGGGGGGCGCAGCTCCTGCAGCAGCGTCTCGGGGTTCACCCGCAGGGTCTTGGCCGTGACCCCCACGATGTCCTCGGGGCGCAGCTGCTCCAGCACGTGCCCGGGGGGGCCTGGGGGGACCCCAAATCGTCTTGAGGGGGGTAGGTAGACCCAAAATCCCACAGACAACCCCCAGGCATCCCAGGACCTCCCTCCAGAAGAGGCTCAGACCCCCCCTCAAATCCCCAGAGACCCCCTAAACCCCCTCATGGCCATCCCAAATTTGGAGGGGGGGTTCCCAGACATTGGGGTCCCCCCCTGTTTTCGGGGTGCAGACCCTCAGGCAGGAAGAGGCGGGTGAGCAGCAGGTCCTCAGGGTAGGGCACGTCCAGGGGGGCCTCTGGGGGGGCCCCCCCGTTCTCGGGGGGCTTCTCGCTCAGCACCAGCGTCGTGAAGGTGCGGCCGGAGCTCCCGGAGCTCACCTGGGGGGAGACCCCCACGTTGGGGGGGGTTATGGGAGGGGGATTGAGGGGGTTTTGGGGGTTGTTTGGGAGGATTCAGAGTGGTGGTGGGAGGTTAGGAGGGGTTTCAGGGGGCTTGGAGAAGAGTTTGGGGGGGATTCAGGGGGGATTTAAGGGAGTACCCTTTTTTTTGTGGGTGATTTAGGAGGATTTTAAAGGTTGGAGGAAGGTTTGGGGGAGGGTTCACGGGTTTGAGGGGTCTGTGGGGGTTTGGGGGTGTCTGGGGCTTTTAGGGTACCTGCAGGACGAGCCCCATGCGTTGCGGTGTTTCGGAGGTGTTTGGGGAAGGTTGAGGGGGTGTTTGGGGGTGTTGGGGAGGGTTAAGGGGGTGTCTGGGGGTTTGGGGTACCTGCAGGACGCGAGCCCCAGCATGTTGGAGGTGTTTGGGGAGGGTTGAGGGGGTGTTTGGGGAGGGCTAAGGGGTGTCTGGGGGTTTGGGGTACCTGCAGGACGAGCCCCAGCGCGCTACGGTGTTTGGGGAGGGTTAAGGGGTGTTTGGGGTGTTGGGGAGGGTTAAGGGGTGTCTGGGGGTTTGGGGTACCTGCAGGATCGAGCCCCAGCGCTGCAGTGTTTTGGGGGTGTTTGGGGAGGGCTGAGAGGGGTGTTTGGGGAGGGTTGAGGGGTGTTGGGGGTGTTGGGGAGGGTTAAGGGGGTGTCTGGGGGTTTGGGGTACCTGCAGGACGAGCCCCAGCGCGTGTGTTTTGGGGTGTTTGGGGAAGGTTGAGGGGTGTTTGGGGTGTTGGGGAGGGTTAAGGGGTGTGGGGGTTTGGGGTACCTGCAGGACTGAGCCCCAGTGCGTTAGGCGGTGTTTGGGGAAGGTTCAGGGGTGTTTGGGGAGGGTTAAGGGTGTCTGGGGGTGTTGGGGAGGGTTAAGTGGTGTCTGGGGGGTTTGGGGTACCTGCAGGACGAGCCCCAGCGCGTTGCGGTGTTTTGGGGGTGTTTGGGGAAGGTTGAGGGGGTGTTTGGGGAAGGTTAAGGGGTGTCTGGGGGGTTTGGGGTACCTGCAGGACGAGCCCCAGCATGTTGAGGTGTTTGGGGAGGGTTGAGAGGGGTGTTTGGGAGGGTTGAGGGGTGTCTGGGGGTGTTGGGGAGGGTTAAGTGGTGTCTGGGGGTTTGGGGTACCTGCAGGATGAGCCCCAGCGCGTTGCGGTGTTTGGGGAAGGTTGAGGGGGTGTTTGGGGAGGGTTAAGGGGTGTCTGGGGGGTTTGGGGTACCTGCAGGACGAGCCCCAGCGCGTTGCGGTGTCTCGGGGTGCAGACCACCACCACCCGGCCCGGTGCCAGCACCCGCTGCCCCCCGGCCTGCGCCAGGCACCGCTGGGGACCCCAGAGCCCGTCAGCACCCCACACCACCCAGGGACCCCCAGGACCCCCAAAAGGGTCCCCAGGGTCCCCTCAGTGTCCCCTTGCACCCTCCCACAGCCCCCCAAACACTCCCTAGGACCCCCCAAGTCTTCCCAGGACTCCCAAATGGGTCCCCCCACACCCCCCTGGGACCCTCCCCACGTCCCTGGACCCCACAGGCCCCCCACAGGCCCAGCCCCTCCCCAAATCCCCCCCAGGACCCCCAGAACGGGTGTCCCCCGCCCCGTACCCACCTGGAGCACCCCCCGGGCGCGGCGCAGCCCCACGACGGCTCGGTGGTACTGGGGCAGGTCCCCCACGTCCCCAGCGTCCCCCGGGGTCTCCTTGGGGTCCCCCAGAGCCGCCAGCGCCTCCTGAAGGGCGGCCACGCGACGCGTCTGCGCCTGGGGGTGGGACACGGTGTCAGGGGGGCACCCAGTGCGTCCCAGCGTCCTTACTGGGGCATCCCAGTACTCACCAGTGTCTGTATTGGAGTGCCCCAGTGCCTCCCAGTCCCTACTGGGACATCCCAGTGTCCATGCTGGGCTGTGCCAACGTCACCCAGCCCCTGTACTGGGGTGCCCCCATGCCCCCAGTGTCCCCTAACCCCTAATGGGGGTGTCCCAGTGTCCCCTGATCCCTAATGTGAGGTGTCCCAGTGTCCCCTGATCCCTAAAGGGGGGTGTCCCAGTGTCCCCTGACCCCTAAAGGGGGTGTCCCCAGTGTCCCCTCACAGGGGTGCCCACAGAGTCCCCACACCGGGTGCCCTCGTGTCCCCATTGACCCCCAGCCCCCACGGCAGGGCGTGCCCGTGTCCCCAGTGTCCCCCCAGTCCTTACAGGGACGTTCCCCGCGTACCCCAATCCCCCTGCTGAGGTGTCCCCCAGTGTCCCCCCAGTCCTTACAGGGACGTTCCCCACATACCCCCATCCCCCTGCTGAGGTGCCCGCCGTGCCCTCACCGTGGCGTCGCGGCGCAGCGGGAACTCGGCGAAGCTGCGGCGCATCAGGTCGTGGGGGCGCAGGGCGGGGGCGCGCAGCAGCAGCAGGATCATGGGGTACGTCAGGCGGAACCGCGACTGCAGAGGGGACGGGCGGCCCTGGGGGACACGCCGGGGGTCAGGCGTGCGTGGGGGAGAGCGCGGCGGGTGACGGGGGGAGGAACACGCGTGAACACGCGTGACCCACCAGCATCATGCGGTGCAGGTCGGGCAGGTCGGGCACCGGCCCCTTGCAGAGGATGATGACGGTGCCCGTGGCGTCCAGGCCCCGGCGCCCCGCACGCCCCGACATCTGCGTGTACTCGCCTGGGGGAGCACGGACCCGCAGTCAGTCACGGTCCTGCCCTGCAGCAACACCTCTCCCGCCATTTCTCCCTCAGCTTTCCCGCCATTTTTCCCTCACGTTTCCCGCCATTTTCCCCCTCACGTTTCCCTGCCATTTCCCCTCATGTTTCCCGCCATTTTTCCCTCACGTTTCCCGCCATTTTCCCCTCATGTTTCCCACCCTTTTCCCCTCATGTTTCCCGCCATTTTTCCCCTCAGCTTTCCCACCATTTCCCCCTCACGTTTCCTGCCATTTTCCCCTCACGTTTCCCGCCATTTCCCTTCACGTTTCCTGCCATTTTCCCCTCATGTTTCCTGCTCGTTTTCAAGCACGTTTCCCGCTGTTTTTCCACTCATCTCCCAACGCTTTCTCACTTGACATATCCCACTCACGTTTCCCACTGTTTTTTCAATCGCATTTCCCACCTGCCCCATGGTGACCCACAGCTGCCCCACAACACCCACATTGCACATACAACTTCATGGGGACATTTAGGATGTGCCACCCAGACCTTGACAGCTGCCCTGCAAGCCCACATTTACAGGAACGCTCTGGTGGAACACAACAGAGATGTCACCCAGACCCCAAATCCCGTCCCACGGTGCCCCACGGCCATCCCCAGTGACCCCACAGCTGCCCCCAGGCCCCGCACCGGGCAGGAGATCGCGGAAGCTGTTCCCGTCGTGTTTGCGGATGGAGTCGAAGACGACGGTTCGCGCGGGCATGTTCACCCCCATGGCGAAGGTCTCGGTGGCAAACAGCACCTGGACCAGGTGCAGGGTTGGAGGTGCCGCCGTGGGGCAGCACCATGGCAGGGCAGGACCCCGTGTCCCACACAGGGACGCAGCACCTCTCCCGTGACCCCACGCACCTTGACCAGCCCCTGGCTGAAGAGCATCTCCACGACCTCCTTGAGCAGGGGCAGGACCCCGCCGTGGTGCACCCCGATCCCGCGCTGCAGCAGCTCCGACAGCTGCAACACCTGACGAGGGGCGACACGGGGGGGATGCGGGGTGTCACTGGCCCTGTGGGACCCCCATCCTGCCCCACACACCCCCGGGCTCGGGGGGCAGCCCCACCTGCGGCAGGCGGCGGTCGGAGCCCCGCAGCCGGGCCAGGCAGCGCGTCAGGAACTGCCGGACGCTGCCGCGCTCGGCGCCGCTCAGGAGGTCGAGGGAGCCCAGGGCGGCCGCCTGGTCCTCGCAGCGGCCCCGCGAGAAGGTGAACGTCACCGCCGGCAGCAGCTCCCGCTCCCGCAGCGTCTCCAGGAGGGACAGCCACACCCCCCGCTCCTGCCGAGGCGGGCACGGCGTCAGCAGGACCCCCAAAGTGCCCCTCTGGACCCCCAAAGCTCCCATGGGGTCCCCAGGACGGTCAGCGGGACCCCCACAGCAGCCCCCCTGTACCTGGCCGGGGTTGGTGACCCCCATGGTGGGCTGGCGCGCCCCGAAGCTCTGCGCGTGTTTGCTGCTCTGCTCCTTCTTGGCCTCCACTGCCGCGTAGTACCTGGGACAGGTGAGGGGCCGGTGAGAAATGAGCTATGGGGCAGGTGAGAGATGAGCTACGGGGCAGGTGAGGGGCAGGTGACAGGTGAGTTATGGGACAGGTGAGGGGTGAGCTATGGGGCAAGTGAGGGGTAGGTGGGGGGTGAGCTATGGGGCAGGTGAGGGGCAGGTGAGCTGTGGGACAGGTGACAGGTGAGCTACGGGGCAGGTGAGAGATGAGCTACGGGGCAGGTGAGGGGCAGGTGAGGGTCTCACCCCTGGGTGCTGAAGGCCCCCCCCGGGCCCAGCAGCGGGAACAGCTGGTGCCGTGTCCGGGAGCTGTTCCCGGTGAACAGGAAATGCTCCAGCGGCACCGGGCGCCGCGGGGTGGAGAGCACCCGCACGCAGCGGCGCTTCGTGCGCCTGCAACGGGGCAGAAACAGGCAGAATCGGGTAAAAACTGGGTGACAGAGGTCTCCACACTCCCCTCGTGTCCCCCTGTCCCTCTGTGCTGCCCCACATCATTACCCCCCACCCCCAGAACCCCTCAGGGACCCCCAGCACCCCCAAGCCCCCTTGTTCCCAAGGACACCCAACACTGTCCACATCTGCCCCAGAGCCACCTCTAAGGAGCTCTCGCCCAGCCCCCTAAAACCCCCCAAGTGCCCCTCAGAGACCCCCAGCCCCCAACTGCAGGGCCCCCAAGCAGTGCCCCCGCTCCGTACCCGACCCACTGGGCGAACTCGAGGGCGTTGGGGACGGTGGCGCTGAGCAGCACCAGCTTCACGTGCTCGGGGAGCAGGATCAGCACCTCCTCCCACACCACGCCCCGCTGCGGAGGACAGGGGGGGTCAGGGGGTCCCCAAACCCCCCTGGGACTCCCCCGAAAAACCCCTGAGCTCCCCAAAACACCCCCCAACCAAGATCCATTGTAGTCAGCATCTCCTCCCACATCACTCCTGCTGAGAGGGTGAGGGGGATCCCAAAACTCCCAGAACCCCTATGGGATCCTCCAAACTCCCCCAGGGACCTCCCAAAACCCCTGGCGACCTCTTAAACTTCTTGGGACCCCCAAACTCCCCCCTCACCAGCACCGGCACAACACACCTCATTAAAGGCGACCTCCTCCAGGTCCCAACTGATGCCCCCCAAAACCTCCCTGAGCCCCCCTAACCCTCCCCCAGGACCCTCCAAACCTCCCTGAGGGCCCCCCAAACCCCGTGGGAGCCCCCCTGAGCCCCCCCACCTCGTCATCATTGACGTAGTGCACTTCATCAAAGATCACCCACTCCAGGTCCCGGATGGCGTCGGAGCCGTTGTACAGCATCGACCTGCGGGGAGGTCGGGCTGGATTTTGGGGTCCCAACCTGCCCCCTCAGACCCCCCAGGGACCCCCCCGCAGCCCCTCACCGCAGGATCTCGGTGGTCATGACCAGGCAGGCGGCCTCGGGGCGCAGCTGCACGTCCCCCGTCAGCAGCCCCACGTCCCCGAACGTCTCCCGGAAATCCCGGAACTTCTGGTTGGAAAGGGCCTTGATGGGGGACGTGTAGATGGACCTGGGGGAGAAAAATGGGGGAGGTCAGGGCTGGGGAGATCCCTGGGACAGACCCCAACCCTCCCACACGTGTTGATGGACCTGGGGGGGGGAGTCAACACAGGGGACCCCCTGGAGCACCCACTGGGAACACAAATGAAGTGGAGAATGGGAAACAAAATTCTGGGGACCCTCTGTGGGTTTTAGGGGTCCTGGGTGGGGGGGGAAACTGAGAGAACATTTAAGGTTACCAAGGTGTGTTTTGGGGACCCCCAAGGATGGGTTTTTGGGGACCCCCAAGGGTGGGTTTCTGGGGACCCCCAGGGTGCAGTTTTGGGGACCCCCAGGGTGGGTTTTTGGGGACCCCCAGGGTGGGAGGGTGCGGTTTGGGGACCCCAGGGTGTGGTTTTGGGGACCCCCAAGGGTGGGTTTCTGGGGACCCCCAGGGTGCAGTTTTGGGGACCCCCAGGGTGTGGTTTTGGGGACCCCCAGGGCAGGTTTTGGGGTCCCCCAGGGTGGGAGGGTGCAGTTTTGGGGACTCACCGGGTCATGTGGCACCGCGCCAGGGCGATGGCGTACTCGGCCACGGCGGTTTTGCCGGCCGAGGTGTGGGCGGCCACCAGCACCGACTGCCCCCGCTCCAGGCACAGGGCTGCCCGCTGCTGGAACGGGTCCGGGCGGAACGGCCACTGGGGAGGGCACAAACGGGGGGTACAGGTCACCCCAAATCCCCCCCGGACCCCAACAGCCCCTTTGGGGCACCCCCAAACCCCCAGAGCCTGCCCTGACCCCAACTGCCCCTTTGGGGCACCCCCAAACCCTGCCCTGACCGCAACAGCCCCTTTGGGGCACCCCCAAACCCCAGAGCCTGCCCCAACCCCAACTGCCCCCAAACCCCCAGAGCCTGCCCCAATCCCAACAGCCCCCTCAGGGCAACCCCAAACTCCCAGACCCTGCCCCAACCCCAACAGCCCCCTTGGGGCACCCCAAACCCAGACCCTGCCCCGACCCCAACTGCCCCTTTGGGGCACCCCAAACCCCCAGACCCTGCCCCGACCCCAACTGCCCTGGGGCACCCCAAACCCCCAGACCCTGTCCCAACCCCAACAGCCCCTTGGGGCACCCCCAAACCCCCAGAGCCTGCCCCGACCCCAACTGCCCCTTTGGGGCACCCCCAAACCCTGCCCTGACCGCAACAGCCCCTTTGGGGCACCCCAGACCCTGCCCCAACCCCAACTGCCCCCTCGGGGCACCCCCAAACTCCCAGACCCTGTCCCGACCCCAACAGCCCCTGCTGCAGCTGCTGGGAGGGGTCTGGGGGCAATAACCATTGAGGGGGCAGGAAATGGGGGTCAGTCCAAACCCCCCCGACCCCTCTCCAAACTCCCCCATCCCTCCAGGGGTCCCTGACACCCCAAAATCCCCCAATTCCCCCCCAGGTCTCCCTGTGTTGAGTCCCAGGGCTGTCCCACACACCCCCAAAACCAACCCAAAATCCCCCCAAAATCTCTCCAGCCCCCCCTCCCCTCAAGCCCCTCCCCACATCCCAAATGACCTCTGGGACACCCAAATCCCACCTCAACCCTCTGGGACCCCCACCCACCTTGTGGGCAGGGTCTGGCAGCAGCTTCTCAAAGTCCTCCACGGGGGATTTGGTGTCGACCATCTCAGCCCAAACCTCCTCGGGGGCGCCGGGGGCCCGGCGGGCTCGGGGGTCCTGCTTCCTCCTGAGTGGGGAAACATGAGCAGGGGTGCGCAGGGACCCCCAAACCCCCCAGACCCCGACACCCACCTTGCTCAGCAGCTCCTCCAGGCTGTCGGAGCGGCGCGGGGGCGGGGGCTGTGCCCCTCCGTGGGGGGCTTTTGGGGGGCCCCCTTGGGCTCCTCGGGGCCCCCCCTGGGCTCGTCAGCCCCCAGCTCGAAGGTGTCGAGGGTCTCCAGGAGGCTGGAGAGGGAGAGGGCCCCCAGCCGCGGCTGGGGGGGTCAGGGGGGCACCCCCAGACTGGGGAGGGGGGGTCTGCCTTATGGACCCCCACAGCTCCTGACCCCCTCAGGGGAAATGTCCAAATTTCAGGGGTGCCCCATCCCCCAAATTTCAAGGGCCCCCACCCCCCTCACCTTGGGGTTTGTACTCGACGCCCCGTTTCATCCCGGGAGTCGTCAGCAGGTCTGGGGAGGAGAAAAGAGGGAGAATTAAGGAGGGGAGGCACCCCAAAAAGGGGTGGGGGCCTCCCTGAGATGGGGGGGGGCACCCCAGGATTTGGGGGAGGGGAGGGATCACACCGTTCTCAAAGTCCACGTCCTCCTCCTCCTGCTCCTGGGGTCTGCATCTGCTCCAGGGTGGGCTCATCCTCCCCTCTGGGCCAGCGGGGCTCGGGAGTCCCGGGGGTTCCCAGGTGTTGGGGGTCCTGGGTGGTTCCTGAGGTGTTGGGGAGTTTGGGGGGTCCAGGGGGTTCCTGAGGTGTTGGGGGTCCCCATACCTGGCCAGAAGGGGCAGCTGGAGAGCCCCCCCCGCAGCCCCTCGCTGGGGGGGCCGGGGGGCCGGCGCAGCGAGGCCGAGTTGGAGGCCGAGAGCCCCACGTGGGGAGCAGCTCCTGGGGGACACAGGGGGCTGGGTGAGCACCCCCGCTCCTGCAGCCCCCAAACCCACCCCCAAATCCCCCAGGCCCCCACCTCGGTGAAGGCCGTGAGGGCACCGGTGCGGGGTCCCGCTCGGCCCGGAGCTGCCCCCCACCGGGGTGGGCTCCAGAGCCCACAGCGCCCGCGGCTCCGGCGTCCGCTGCCACGTCCTGGGGGCACAGGGGAAAACGGCACCCTGGGTCACCCCAGGGCCAGGGACCCCCAGGGTCACCCTGAGTCAGGACCCCCAGGGTCACCCTGAGGGTCAGGGACCCCCAGGGTCACCCCAGGGTCAGGGACTCCCCCAGGGTCAAGGGACCCTCCCACCATGGGTTTAGGCGTCCTCCCGACGAGTCTTAGAGCCCCCAGGGTCACCCCCATGAGTCTTAAGGCACCCCAGTCCCCACCCATGGGTTTTAGGCTTCCCCCCCATGTTTTAGAGCCCCCAGCTCCCCCATGGTTTTAGAGCCCCCCAGCTCCCCCATGGTTTTAGGCCCCCAATGCCTCCCCATGGTTTTAGCCTCAATCCCCCCATTGTCCCCCCTCATTACCTGCGGGCCCGCTCGTGCTGGTGCAGGGGAGCCACTCGGGGACCCCAAAATTGCTGCTCCAGCTCCGCCAGCAGGGAGGGGCGAAGGGGGAGCCCATGGGGCAGCTGTGGGGGGCACATGGGGAGGGGGTCAGGGCGTTCGGGATCCCCTCGGTGACCGGGGTGTCAGGCAGGTTTGGGGGCGGGGGGTCGCTCACCGTGGCGCGGGGCTCGGGGTCTCCTCCCCCGGGGTCCCGCGAGCAGCTCGAAGCGCCCGCGCAGCCCAACTCCAGCAGCGCCAGCGGCAGCTCCGCGGCCCGCGGGGGGCACGGCTGCGGAGGGGGAACAACGGGGAGGGGTCGGACCACCAGGACCACCGGGACCACCGCGAATAAGGGAGGGGTCAGGGACCACCGGGACCACCCAGGGACCACCGCGGATAACGGGAGGGGGTCAGCGGACCACCGGGACCACCCAGGGACCACCGGAGATGATGGAGAGGAGGCTCGGGGACCACCGGGACCCCCGAACCCCTCCCCACACCACAGGACCCCCGAGCCCCCGCCCCATCCCCACCGATCCGCTCCAGCTCCATCCCCGCCACCCGGAAGTGCCCCACCGGAACCGCCTGAAGCCACCCGGAAGCGCGGGCAGCCCGGGCAGCGGGATCGACCAATCAGCGCGCGTTCCGCCTTTCCGCCAGCCAATGGGATGGCGGCGCGCCCGGCGGCGGTGTCGCAATGCCTTCTGGGAAAGGCGCCGCCGCTTCCGGTCCCGTTGCCACGGCAACCGCCCGACTTGGGGGCCTGTGCCGGGGTCCCTCCCGTGTCTCCCTCGTGTCCCCTCGCGTGTCCTCGGGTGACCCCCAGCCACCCCCACCATGCTGGCGCTGCCGCCGGGGCTCACGGAGGAGGAGGAGGCCCTGCAGAAGCGCTTCGCTAAACTGCGGAAGAAGGTGCGGTAAAGTGGGGGGTGTTGGGGGAATCTGAGCGGGTTTGGGGGGGCTCTGGCGGGTTAGGGGGCTTTGAGGGGAGGCGAGAGAGTCCGAGGGGGCTTGGGAGGGTCTGAGGCGGTCTGGGGGCTCTGAGGGGGCTTGAGGGTTATTGAGGGGTCTCTCCGGGGGTCCCAGCCCTGCCTGACCCTCCCTTTATTCCCCTCCCTGCAGAAGAAGGCGCTGCTGGCGCTGAAGAAGCAGCAAAGCTCGGCCGGGACCAGCGCGCAGGGCGGCATCAAGCGCTGTGAGGGGGGACATGGAGGGGAGGGGAAATCGGGGTCCCCGGGGGGCTCCTGAGCGCTGGGACCCCCCGGGGGTCTCCCCTGAGCCCCTGTGTGTGTGAGGGGTGCTCTCCTGGGGGGGTGTTGTGTCCCCATGGGGGGATAGGGGGCTGGTTTTGGGGTCTCCCGAGGCCGTGGCTGCCCCCTCCAAGCCCAGGGTGTGACCCCCGTGGCCCCCCAGCCATGTCGGACCAGCCCCCCGTGGACACGGCCACGGCCACGGAGCAGGCCAAGCTGCTGGTGAAGTCGGGGGCCATCAGCGCCATCAAGGCCGAGAACAAGAACTCGGGGTTCAAACGCTCCCGCACCCTCGAGGGGAAGCTCAGGTGGGACCCCTCCCCAGGGTCCCCCATTCCCCTGTCCCGGACTCCCAGGCTCCCTCCCCCACCCCAAAATCCTTGGACGCTCCCAACGCCTCCCCCAGACTCTCGGGGGGGCTGAAGGGGGGGCCGTGCCCGTATTTTGGGCACCCCCGACCCCTGTACCCCCCCAGGACCTCGAGAAGGGCCCCACCCCCACCTTCCAGCCCTTCCAGCGCAGCGTCTCAGCTGATGACGACTCTCAGGAGGTACCAGACCCCCCCCTCGGCTTTAGGGGGTTCCCCCCTTTGATTTGGGGGGGTCCCCCATCACGGAGACCCCCCCCAAATTACCAAATCCCCCCCCTTTCCGCAGTCCCGCCGCCCCCAGAGGAAGTCGCTCTACGAGAGGTGAGCGGGACCCCCGTCCCCAACGCCCCCCCTTGGTTTTGGGGGACCCCTTTTTAATTTTTGGGGGTCCCCCTGAGCCTCCCCCTCCCCCCCAGCTTCGTCAGTGCCACCGACCGGCTGCGGGAGCCCGAGGGGGGGGCCCGGGGGGACCCCCCGGAACGGGGAGAGCGACGCCTGGACTGGGAACCCGAGCCCGAGCCCGAGGAGCGGCGGGAGCGGGACGGGGCCTTCCGGAGTACGGGGACCCCAAAATATGGAGGGGGGACCCAAACGGGGGGACACCTGGGAGCAGGAGGGCCTATGCAGGGGGGGGACCCCAAAACATGGGGGGGACACCTGGGAGCGGGACGGGGCCTTCTGGAGTACGGGGACCCCAAAACCATGGGGGGGACCCCAAAACTTGGGGGGGACACCTGGGAGCGGGACGGGGCCTTCCAGAGTACAGAGGTCCCCAAAACCCGGGGTGGGGGGTGCGTTTGTGAACCCCCTTGGGCTGGGGGGTGTCTGGTGAGGGGTCTCAGGGTGCTGAGGGGGCTTCTGTGTCCCCGTGGGGGCATCGGGGGGGAGTGAGTGAATAGTGGGGGTGCCCAGGGTGGTCTCTGGTGGGGGTATGGGGGTGTCCACCCTGGATTTCGGGGTCCTGGGGGTGTCCCAGGTTTCAGGGTGCCCCTGACCCCCCCGTGCCCCCCCGGCCAGGGTCGGACTCGTTCCCCGAGCGCCGCCCGCCCCGCAAGGGGAACACTCTGTACGTGCACGGGGCCGAGCTGAGCCCGGAGCTGCTGCGAGCGGCCTTCGGGCCCTTCGGGGCCATCATCGACCTCTCCATGGACGCCCCCAGGAAGTGCGGGAGGATATTTTGGGGGGGGGCTAAAGCGGGTGGGGTTATTTTGGGGTGGCGCTAAAGTGGGTGGGATTGTTTGGGGTGGGGCAAAAGCAGGTGGGGTTATTTTGGGTGGGGCTAAAGTGGGTGAGGTTATTTTGAGGTGGGGTTATTTTGAGGTGGGGTTAAAGTGGGTGGGGTTATTTGGGGTGGCGCTAAAGTGGGTGGGGTTATTTGGGGTGGGGCTAAAGGGGTTATTTGGGGGTGGGGCTAAAGTGGGTGGGGCTGTTTGCAGGTGGCGCTGTGGATTGTGGGTGTGGCTAAAGGTGGGTGGGGTTGAGTGCTGTGGGTGGGGTTTTAGGGGTGGGTGGGGCCAAGAATGAGGGGCGGGACTAAAGGTGGATGGGCCTGAGAGTTTGGGGTGGGGCTACAGGTGGGTGGGGTCACAGGGTGTGGGTGGGGTCACAGGGTGGGGCTGTGAAATGTGGGTGTGGCCGTGGCTTGTGGGTGGGGTGAAAAGTTGGGGTGGGGCCACAGGCTGGGTGGGGTTAAGGGTGGGTGGGGCTGAGAGTTTGGGGCGGGGCTAAACAGGGTGGGGTTGTTTGGGGGTGGGATTAACGGTTGTGGGAACGGCTTTATCCCCTCAGCTGCGCCTTCGTCACCTACGAGAAGATGGAATCGGCCGACCAGGCCATCGCCGAGGTTTGGGGGCTTTGGGGGGCGGTTCTGGGGGGTCTCTGGGGGTCCCCGTGCCCCCCCTGACCCCCCCGTGCCCCCCCAGCTGAACGGGGCCGTGGTGCAGGACGTGCAGCTCAAGGTCAGCATCGCCCGCAAGCAGCCCCTGCTCGACGCCGCCACCGGGAAGTCGCTCTGGGGGTCCCTGGGTGAGTCTGGGGGCGGCCCTGGGGGCTTGGGGGGTCCCGGGGAGGGTCCCCCGACATCCCTGACCCCCCTTTCCCACCCCCCCAGCCGTGAAGAACAGCGCCAAGGGCTCCCACCGCGACAAGCGCTCGCAAGTCGTGTACAACGAGGACCTTTTCGGGGGGCAATGAGGGACCCCCGGGGGCCCCCGTGGGGGGCAATAAAGCTCAGCAGGGACGTGGCCACCACCTTTATTGTCATCGGGGTGGGATGGGGACCCCCGGGGACACCCCCCAGACCCAGAGGGACCCCTGAAATCGTCCCCACGGCCCCCTCGGATCCCCCTCCGCCACGTCCCACCCCCGTGGGGCCGCGTGGCCGTGGCGTGTCCCGGCGTGTCCTGGTGTGTCCTGGCGTGTCCTGGCGTGTCCCCAGGGCTCAGGGCAGGAAGCCCAGGTCCTCGTCCTGGAGCTTGTCCCTCAGCCAGGGCAGCACCTCGAACAGGTTCACGTGGAAGTCGCGGGTGTGCGACGAGGAGCTGCTGTCCTGGCACACGGGGGCCATGCCCCAGCTGACCACCCCCACCTGGGCAGGGGCACACGGGGGTCACACAGGGGTCACCCCCCAGCTGACCACCCCCAGCTGACCACCCCCACCTGGGCAGGGGCACACGGGGGTCATTCAGGGGTCACCCCCCAGCTGACCACGCCCACCTGGGCAGGGGCACACGGGGGTCACTCAGAGACCACCCCCCAGCTGACCACCCCCACCTGGGCAGGGGTACACGGGGGTCACTCAGGGGTCACCTCCCAGCTGACCACCCCGACCTGGCAGGGGCACACGGGGTCACTCGGGGGTCACTCAGGGGTCACCCCCAGCTGACCACCCCCACCTGGGCAGGGGCACACGGGGGTCACACAGGGGTCACCCCCAGCTGACCACCCCCAGCTGACCACCCCCACCTGGGCAGGGGCACACGGGGTCATTCAGGGGTCACTCAGGGACCACCCCCCAGCTGACCACGCCCACCTGGGCAGGGGCACACGGGAGTCGCAGGGGTCACACAGGGGTCACTGGGGTCACACAGGGGTCAGGGATCACCTCCCCCACCGAGTCAGCCCCATGCCTCAGTATTCTCAGTATGCTCCCAGTGTCCCCAGTGCCCGCCTCAGTGTCCTCCCAGTGTCCCCAGTTTCCCTCTCAGTCCCCTCCAGTGTCCCCACTGACCTGGAAGTGGCGCTTCCCCCAGATGATGATGACGGGGCCCCCGGAGTCGCCTGCGGGGGAAACTGGGATGTACTGGGAGGCACTGGGAGGCACTGGGATGGCCTCAGGGTGCCACTAAAACGTCCTGGCACCAACTGGGCGACAGGACCATGCCCTGGGGGAGCCCCATGGAGCCGTACTGGGGGCAGTATGGGCCTGTACTGGTCTGTACTGGTGTGTACTGGTGCGTACTGGTGCGTACTGGTGCGTACCGCGGCAGGTGTTGGGCTCCACCTGGGGGTTGGTGCCCCCCGAGCACAGGAACCGGGGGGTCACCACGTCCTCCACCGACGACACGTTGGCGTAGGGGGCGGCACGGAGGGCGTCCTCCTCGCACGGGTGGCGCTGGGGGGGACACGGGGGGCAGGGGGTCAGAGGGTATGGGGGCAGAGGGACATGGGGGGGCAGAGGGGACATGGGGGGCAGAGGGGACATGGTTGGGGCAGAGGGGACATGGGGGTCAGGGGACATGGGGGGCAGAGGAACAGGGAATGGGGTGGGGATCTGATGGATGTGGAGGAGGGTGACAGACAGAGGAGGGACACACAGACATGGGAGGGACAGACACAGGAGGTACAGACACACACGGGGGTCACCCCTGCCCCTGGGGTCCTCACCTGTGCCCCAGCTTGAGCGTCACCTGCTGGCGCTTGAGCCCCGCGGATTTGCGGTAGGACAGGAAATAGGCCGGGACGTCCTTGGGGGGCAGCAGGAGCTGGCCTGGGGGCACGGGGGGGCACGGTCAGGGGCAGCAGGAGCTGGCCTGGGGGCACAGGGGGATTATGGGGTGTTTTAGGGGTCTTGGGGTGCTGGGGGTAGGGGCGGCTCTAAGGGAGTTTTGGGGGTGTTTGGGGGAGTGAGGGCATTTGGGGGATAGTTGGGTGCTGAGGAGCTTTGTGTGAGGCCGGGAGGGTTATAGGGGTCTGGGTGGGGGTTAGTAAGGGTTTGGGGGTTATGGGGTCTGGAGGAGTTCTGGGGTCCCGGGGTGGTTCTGGGGGTCCCGGGAGGGGCTCACGGTGGTCCTCGCAGGTGCTTTTCTCCGGCAGCCGCAGCGCCGCGACGCCCCTTCGGTGCAGGGGAGGCAGATGGGGCTGGGGGGGGGGCATGGGAGCGTCAGCACCCCAAAACACCCCCAAACCCCTCCCCGGCCCCCCCAGCCCCTCACCGCTCGGTGGGCGAGCTGGTCACGGCGCGCTTGAGCTGCACCAGGGCCACGTCGTAGTCGTAGAACTCGGGGACCCCCGGTCTCGCCGGGCCCCCAGGTCAAACTGGGGTGCAGCAACAGGCGCGACACCTTAAAGGGCTTCTGACCCTGGGGGACAGAGGCTCAGGGCTGGGCTGGGGACCCCCAAACCCCCCCAGGGACACCCCCCATTCCAAGGGACCAGGGAGTTCAGGGGGGTCCTGGGGAGGGGGTCATGGAGGGGCTCAGGACTTTGGGGGCATCCCCAGGGGTTTGGGGGAGTCCCCAGGACTTTGGGGACATCCCCAGGGGTTTGGGGGCATTCCCAGGGGTTTGGGGGCATTCCCAGGGGTTTGGGGGAGTCCCCAGGGGTTTCAGGGGGTGTCCCCAGGGGTTGAGTGGGTCCTCGGGATGTTTTGGGGTCTCCCCAGGACTCATTTTTGGGGTGTCCCCGGGATATTTGCGGTGTCCCCAGAACTTTGGGTGGGTGTCCCCAACCCCTTTTATGGGGGGCTTCCCTGGGGATCCACCCCACCCAACCATCCCACCCTGGGGTGCCCCCCGCTCATTCCTGAGGGGTCCCCCGGGATGCAACCCCCCCAACCGATGTCCACACCCATCTATCCCACATTTTGGGTGCCCCCCGCCCGTTTTTGGGGTCTCCCCGGGGTGCAGCCCCCCCCGACTGATATCCACCCCCAGCCATCCCACATTTTGGGTGCCCCCCGCCCGTTTTTGGGGTCTCCCCGGGGTGCAGCCCCCCCGACCGATGTCCACACCCATCTATCCCACATTTTGGGTGCCCCCTGCCCGATTTTGGGGGCTCCCCCTGACCGATGTCCACGCTGAGCTGGTCGGCGCGGTCCTCGATGTCGAAGCAGTGAGCCGCCGTCAGCACGAAGTAGGGGGACACGAGGGACCCCTTGCAGTGCTCCCGGCCCAGCCCCGGCCGCTGCGGGGGGAGCAGAGCCACGGTCGGGGTGGGGGGGGACACCCCAAACCTGTGACACCCCCTCCCTTCCACCCCGAAACCCTGCAGGACCCCCCTCAGCCCCACAGGATCCCTCCCCCCACCGTGACAGGGACGTGCCCAGTGCCCCCTGAGTGCCCCCTGACCCCTTGAGTGCCCCCTGAGCCCCCAGGTGCCCCCTGAGCTCCCCAGGTGCCCCCCAGCCCAGCCCCCCCCTCACCGTGATGGTCACCGTGACCTCCCAGGGGTTCCTCTCCCTGTCCTCGGCCGTGGGGTAGTCCTGGCTCACCCCACACAGGTGCAGCGTCGAGCCCTCGTCTTTGGGGGAAGGGGGGAATTTGGGGGCTCAGGAGGGGCCAAGACCCCCCACAGAAGCCCCCCCTGAGATCCCCCATCACTGCCCGTGCAGTGGGAGCCCCCCCAGCACAAACACGGGAGAGGTTGGGGTCAGGGGAGGGTTTGGGGATCCCGGGGGTGATTTGGGGATCCTGGGGGTGATTTGGGGTCCCAGGGGGATTTTGAGGGTTCCAGAAGTGGTCTGGGGTCAGGGATCTTTTGGGGGTCTCAGGAGAGACCAGGGGTGGTTTGGGGGTCCCAGAAGGGATTTGGGGTCAGGGATCTTTTGTGGGTCCCAGGAGTGGTTTGTGGGGTGCCAGGGGGCAGTGTGGGGTGCCAGGGGGCAGTGTGGGGTGCCATGGGGTGCTCCTGGGGTAGCAGGGGTGCAGTGTGAGGTGCTGGGGGGCAGTGTGGGGTGCCAGGGGGCAGTGTGGGGTGCCCCCCGTACCGATCATGTGGTGGAAGGTCTCCTGCAGCTGGGCCAGCTCCAGCACAAAGGTGTGCTTCTCCCCGCCTTGTGCGACGCCAGCTCGTTCAGGGTGTCCGTGTGGGGCTCGGCCCCGATGGCGAACGTGTACACGTCTGGGGGGCAGGGGGTCAGGGGACCCCAAAATACCCTCAAAACACCCCCTGAGCCCTCATGGTGAACGTGTACACGTCTGGGGGCACGGGGGTCAGGGGACCCCAAACACTCCCCAAAACACCCCTGAGCCCTCACAGTGAACGTGTACACGTCTGGGGGGCACGGGGTCAGGGGACCCTAAACACCCCCCAAAACCCCCCTGAGCCCCGATGGCGAACGTGTACACGTCTGGGGGGGGCACGGGGGGCTCAGGGGGACCCCAAAACACCCCCCAAAACACCCCCCTGAGCCCCCATCCCAAAGGGAGGGCATGGGAGGGGTCAGGAGTGACCCCAACTCCCCCCGCAAAGGGACCCCTCAAATTCTCCTGAGGTTCCACATCTGAGCCCCCCGCACTTCAAAACTTCCACCTGTCTGGGGGGGTGGGTCAGGGGACCCCAAACTCAGCGCAGCCCCCCCAATCCTCAGCACCCCCATTGCAGCCCCCTTCCCCAAACCCAACCCTCCCCCATTGATCCCTCCCTCAAAGCCCCCTCTCAGAACCCCCAAAAACGCCCCCAGGCCCCCCAGCCCCCACCCAGGTAGTCCTCGCGGTCGTGCCGGGGTCCCTCCCGATGCTCAGCAGCTCCCGGATCTGGCGGACGACGGGCACGGAGACCCCCATGTTGGCACGGCCTGGGGGGCAACGGGGGTCAGAGGGACTTTGGGGTCTATTGAGGGTGCAGGGGGATTTGGGGTCCTGAGAGCGAGTGGTGGGGAGGGGGATTTGGAGGACCTCACAGGAACTGGTGTGGAGGATCGCAGAGAATTTGGAGGGTTGGGGGGGCAGTCCAAGAGGGTTTGAGGGTCCCAGTTGGGGGCCCTGAGGTTTTGGGGAGGTTTGGAGGGTGCCAAGAGTTCAAGGTGTCTCAGGGATTTTGGGGGGTTGTAGGGGTGTCCCAGGGGGTTCCAGGGGGTTTGGGGGTATCCCGGGGAGGTCCCAGGGGGTCCCAAGAGTTCAAGGTGTCTCAGGGATTTTGGGGAGGGGTTCAGGGGTGACCCAGGGTGAGGGGGTCCCAGGGAGTCCCAGAGGGTTTGGAAGCGTCCCAGAGGGTTCCAGGGGGTTTTGGGGGGTCCAGGGGGTTTGGGGGTGTCCCAGAGAGGTTCCAGGGGGTTTGGGGGTGCCCAGGGGGTTTGGGGTGTCCCAGAGAGGGTTCCAGGGGGTTTTTGGGGGTGCCCAGGGGGTTTGGGGGTGTCCCAGAGGGTTCCAGGGGGTTTTGAGGTGCCATGGGGCTTTGGGGTGTCCCAGAAGGTTCCAGGGGGTTTTGGGGGGTCCAGGGGGTGTCCCCACCGTCAGACATGATGATGATGACGTGGCGGGTGCTGTTGGTGACGGGGGGTCGAGGCCCTCCTCATCTCCACCTGCTCCTGCAGCACCAGCTGCTCGTACACGGCCCGCAGCGCTCCCGCCAGGTTGGTCCCGGGGGCCTGGGAGTGGGCTGGGGGGCACAGGGGGTCACTGCACCCCAGAGACCCCCAGCACCTCAACGCCCCCGGCACCTCAACACTCCCAGCACCCCAAATCCTCCCTGCACCCCAAATCCCCTCAGCTCACACACAGCCTGCAGGGCTTGCCCAGGTTTGTACCAGGGGTTGGGGCTGGGGTGGGGAACAGGGGGTCACTGCACCCCAAAGACCCCCAACACCCACAGAGCCCTCCAGGAGAAACCCTGAGAGCCCCCAGGCCCCCCAACTCCCCAAAGCCCCCCAGCTCCTGTCCCAGCCCCCCAACCCCCCATAGCAACCCCAAAACCCCCCAGCTCCTGTCCCAGCCCCCCACCTTCGAAGTTGAGGTTCTGGAGCTGCTGCTGGACCCAGTCCCCTTGGCCGCCTGGGGGTCCGTGGGGCTCAGGACCACCCGCGCCTCCGTCCCGAAGGTGATGATCCCGTAGTGGGGGCTGGCCCCGTAGCTGGCGATCTGGGAAGGGTCAGGGGGCTCAGGGAGGCTCTGAGGGGCTGTGGGGAGGGGTTGGGGAGGTCTGGGGGTCCCACCTTCTCCACCAGCTCGCTGAGGGCGTTGCGGGCGTCCTGGAAGTCGGTGCGGCCGACGCTGCGCGAGGCGTCGAGCACCAGGAACACGTTGAGGGCGGCGCCGGGGTCCAGGCGGATCCGCCGCTTCTGCGTGGCCTCTGCGGGGAGGGGGGGCCCAAAAAACGCTGTGACATCATCCCCCCCTCCACCCCCACCACCACGGGGGGTTCACGGGGAGCATCACCCACCCCCAAACACCTCTGTGAGCGCCGTGGAGCCCCGGGGACTCTCAGCCACACATAAAGCTCTCCCTACAGCCCCCATAGCCCCCCTAACCCTCTCTAGAGCCACCCTACAGCCCCCATAGCCCCCATAACACTCTTTATAGCCACACCACAGTCCCCCTATAGCCACCCTATAGTCCCCCATAACCCACTCTACAGCCCCCTATAGCCCCCCATAACACTCTCTATAGCACCACTATAGCCCCCCCATAACCACCTCTTATAGCCCCCCTATAGCCCCCCATAACACCCTCTATAGCAACCCTATAGCCCCCCCATAACACCCTCTATAGCACCCGTATGGCCCCCCATAAAACCCTCTATAGCCACCCTATAACCCCCCATAACCTACTCTACAGCCACCCTATAGCCCCTCTACAGTCCCCCCATAAACCCTCTATAGCACTCCTATAGCCCCCATAACACTTCTCTATAGCCCCCTATAGCCCCCAAAACCCCTCTATAGCTCCCCTGTAGCCCACCCATAAGCCACTCTATAGCCCATCCATAACCCTCTCTATAGCCCCCATAACCCCCTATAGCCCCCATTTAACCCCCATATTTTCCCCCCACCCCAAGCCCCCACCTTGGGTCGTGTTGGCCTCAGCCACCTCCACGGTCTGGGTGAGGGACGCCAGAAACTCCTGGGCCACTTCCTCGGGGCTGTCCAGCACTTTGGGGTCTGGGGGGGACACGGCAGGGGTCAGTCAGTCGGTCATCCCCGACCAGGCTCAGACCCCTGATAACCCCAGGACCCCCAGAGCCCCCGGTGTGTCCTCAGGGCTGAGACCCCCAAAAACACCCCAGGACCCCCAGAGCCCCCGGTGTGTCCTCAGGGCTGGGACCCCCAATAATCCCCAGAGCCCCCGGGTGTGTCCTCAGGGCTCTGACCCCCAATAACACCCCAATAACCCCCAGAGCCCCAGGTGTGTCCTCAGGGCTGGGACCCCCAATAATCCCCAGAGCCCCCGGGTGTGTCCTCAGGGCTGGGACCCCCAATAACCCCCAATAATCCCCAGAGCCTCCGGGTGTGTTCTCAGGGCTGAGACCCCCAATAACCCCCAGAGCCCCCGGGTGTCCTCAGGGCTGGGACCCCAATAATCCCAGAGCCCCCGGGTGTGTCCTCAGGGCTGGGACCCCCAATAACCCCCCAATAATCCCCAGAGCCCCCGGGTGTGTTCTCAGGGCTGAGACCCCCAACAACCCCCAGAGCCCCCGGGTGTGTCCTCAGGGCTGGGACCCCAAATAACCCCCAGAGTCCCCGGGTGTGTCCTCAGGGCTGGGACCCCCAAATAACCCCCCAGAGTCCCCCGGGTGTGTCCTAAGGGCTGAGACCCTCCATCAACCCCCAGGACCCCCCAGACCCTGAGACCCCAGGATTCCCGTGCCCCCGTGCCCCCATGCCCTCACCACGGCAGCGGCTCGGTCCACCCAAACCCCAAGCCCCTGTGCCCCCATCCCTCACCACGACACCGGGGCTCTGTCCCGCTCCAGACCCCGAGCCCCCTGTGCCCCCATCCCCTCACCGCGACAGCGGGCTCGGTCCCGCTCCAGACCCTGAGCCCCCGGGACCCCGGGACCCCCACTCGCCCTGGGACCCCCATGCCCTCACCACGACAGCCGGGGCTCTGTCCCTCCAGACCCCAGAGCCCCCGTGCCCCCCGTGCCCCCATCCCCTCACACCACGACAGCGGGCTCTGTCCCGCTCCAGACCCCCCTCGAGGCAGCGCTCTGCCCGAGCCCAGCAGCTCCAGCCCGGGCCTGCAGCGGTACCGCACGACCCCTCCACGGAGAAGCGCGCCCGGGACCCTCCATGGACCCCACGGGCACGGCCGGGGCCAGGCACGCCCCGCTGCGGGGAGAACAAGGGGCGTCACGGGGGATCGGAGGTGGGAGACCCCAAATCCCCCCAGCCACCCCCAAGGACATCCCCAGGGACTGCCCCATCCCCACCCGGGACCCTCCATGGACCCCTCCCAGGGAGCAGAGCAGGAGTCCCCCAGGGACCTCCCAGCGCCCCCGGACTCCAACGACCCCTAGGACCCCTCAGGAAGCCTCCAGGAGCCTCCCAATGACACTTGGGACCACCCCCCTCCCATAAGGACCCTCCCCAAGGGACCCCAGAAGGATTTGGGGACCCCAGAAGGATTTGGGGTCTCCAGAAGGATTTAGGGCAGATTTGAGGTCTCCAGAAGGACTCAGGTGAGGGATTTGGGGTTTCCAGAGAGATTTGGGGTCTCCAAAAGGATTTAGGGTGAGTTTGGGGTCTCCAGAAGGATTTGAGGTCTCCAGAAGGATTTGGGGTCTCCAGCTGGATTTCGGGTGGATTTGGGGTCTCCAGATGGATTTCGGTGATTTGGGGTCTCGGAGGATTTAGGCAAGTTTGGGGTCTCCAGAGGATTTGGGGTCTCCAGCTGGATTTAGGGATTTGGGGTCTCCGGAGGGATTTAGGGGTTATTCGGGTTTCCAGAGGATTTAGGGCGGGGACCCCAGAGGATCTGGAGCCTCCTGGAACCCTCCCAGGACCCCTAAGCCCCCTGTCCCCTTACATCCATCGTCGCAGACGGGGTCGGGGCCGTCCCAGCGCCCCCCGGCCCCGCAGACGCGCTGGGAGGGCCCGCGCAGCGCGAAGCCCTCGAAGCAGCCGAAGGTCAGGACCGAGCCCGGGGGGTGCCGCCCCCCCCGCGGCCAAAACCAGCCCTGCTCGAACTCCAGCGGCTCCGGGCACCACACGGCTTGAGTTTGGGGGGGGAGAGAGGGTGAGACCCCCCCGGGACCCCCCCCAAATACCCACACACCCCACACGGCTTGAGTTTGGGGGGGGAGAGAGGGTGAGATCCCTCGGGACCCCCAAATGCCACACACCCCACACGGCTGAGTTTGGGGGAGAGAGGTGAGACCCTGGACCCCAGGACCCCCAATACCCACACACCCCACACGGCTTGAGTTTGGGGGGAGAGAGGGTGAGACCCCGGGACCCTCCAGGATCTCCCAATACCCACACCCCACACGGCTTGAGTTTGGGGGAGAGAGGGTGAGACTCCCCAGGACCCCCAATACCCCACACCCCACACGGCTTGAGTTTGGGGGAGAGAGGTGAGACCCCCGGGACCCCCTGGGACCCCCAATACCCACAGGACACCCTCACACCCCACACGGCTGGGGCTTTTTTGGGGGAAGAGGGGTGAGACCCCCCGGGACCCCCCCGGGATCCCCCAAATACTCACAGGGACCCCCCAAACACCCACAGAGACCCCTCCAAACACCCACAGGGACCCCCTCCCCAACACAACGGGACCCCCTGACCCCCAGAAACACCCCACAGGGACCCCTAAACACCCACAGGGACTCCTCAGGACCCCCAAATACTCACAGGGACCCTCCAAACACCACAGGACCCCCGAGATCCCCAGAAACACCCACAGCGATCCCCCAAACACCCACAGGACCCCGAAATACTCACAGGGACCCCCGTCCCCGCCGGGACCACCCCAAGGACCCCTCCCCACCTGGGACACGCCCCCTCCCCCAACAAAGACCCTCCAGCCCCCCACGTGTCCCATAACATCTCCCGACCCTCCTCCCCAAATCCCCCCAGCCCCCATGCCCACCGCAGCGGGGAGCCCTCCCAGGCAGGGGTCCCAGGTGCCGTCAGGGCCGCAGCGGCAGCCCGGTGGGGAGTGGGGCAGTGCCAGGGGGCAGCAGTACAGCAGCACCTCCCCCCTGCCACCAGCTCCCCGTGCCCCCACGCGATGGGCACCTGAGCCAGGTCACAGCGAGGGGGGCAGCGCTGCAGAGGGGGCCGTGGAGGCACCTGGGGGCACAGGGGCAGTGAGGGGGATTGGGGAGGCAGGGGGGACAGGGAGCGGTGAGGGGGATTGGGAGAGGCTGGGGGGGACAGGGGCGGTGAGGGGGGATTGGGGAGCAGGGGGGACAGGGGAGAGTGAGGGGGATTGGGGAGCGGGAGGACAGGGGAGTGAGGGGATTGGGAGCCGGGGAGTGGGGGTCGGGGGAGGGGGCTGGGGTGGGGATTGGGGGTTTGGGTGGAGTTCGTGGGAGTGGGTTTGGGGGCTCAGGTGTGTCAATGGGCAGGTTTGGGGCAGGTTTGGGGTCTCAGGGGTCAGGTTTGGGCTCTCAGGTGAGTCCATGAGGCAGGTTTGGGGCAGGTTTGGGGTCTCAGGTGAGTCCATGGACAGGTTTGGGGTCTCAGGGGGATCTGGGGGCAGGTTTGGGGGTTCAGGTGAGTCCATGGGCAGGTTTGGGGTTCAGGTGTGTCTGGGGCAGTTTTTGGGGCAGGTTTGGGGTCTCAGGGGTGTCAGGGGCAGGTTTGGGGTCTCAGGGGGATCTGGGGGCAGGTTTGGGGTCTCAGGGGAATCTGGGGGCAGGTTTGGGGTTCAGGTGAGTCCATGGGGCAGGTTTGGGGCAGGTTTGGGGTCTCAGGGGGCAGGTTTGGGTCTCAGGTGTGGGAGGCAGGTTTGGGGTCTCAGGTGAGTCCATGGGCAGGTTTGGGGCAGGTTTGGGGTCTCAGGGGTCACTGACCGTGGGCTGGGGGCAGCAGCAGCAGCAGCAGCAGGAGGGGGAGGGGGAGGCCGAGCTGAGCCCTGGCCACGTCCATCTGTCCATCCATCCGTCTGTCCACCTGTCCCTCCACTCCGTCCCGGGCCGGTCTGTCCGTCTGTCCCAAGGTGTGGGGAATTACAACACCTGCCCCCTCCCCCACGGGCTCCGGGAAATCACGGGGAGGGAGGGAAAGGCAAAGGGGGAGGGGAGGAGTCCACGGGGGTCAGGGCGGTGACCGGGGGGCACGAGGGGCCCTCGGGGCTGAGCAAACACCCGGGGAAAGGGCCTGAAATTATTTTAGAGCCCCCATCCCAAAGGGAGGGCATGGGAGGGGTCAGGGTGACCCTCAACTCCCCCGCAAAGGGACCCCTCAAATTCTCCTGAGGTTCCACATCTGAGCCCCCCGCACTTCAAAACTTCCACCTGTCTGGGGGGGTGGGTCAGGGGACCCCAAACTCAGCGCAGCCCCCCCAATCCTCAGCACCCCCATTGCAGCCCCCTTCCCCAAACCCAACCCCTCCCCATTGATCCCTCCCTCAAAGCCCCCCTCAGAACCCCCAAAAGCACCCCCAGGCCCCCAGCCCCACCCAGGTAATCCTCGCGGTCGTGCCGGGGTCCCTCCCGATGCTCAGCAGCTCCCGGATCTGGCGGACGACGGGCACCGGAGACCCCCATGTTGGCACGGCCTGGGGGGCACAGGGAGTCAGAGGGACTTTAGGGTCTATTGAGGGTGCAGGGGGATTTGGGGTCCTGAGAGCGAGTGGTGGGGAGGGGGATTTGGAGGACCTCACAGGGAACTGGTGTGGAGGATCGCAGAGAATTTGGAGAGGTTGGGGGGGCAGTCCAAGAGGGTTTGAGGGTCCCAGTTGGGGGCCCCGAGGTTTTGGGGAGGTTTGGAGGGTGCCAAGAGTTCAAGGTGTCTCAGGGATTTTGGGGGTTGTAGGGGTGTCCCAGGGGGTTCCAGGGGGTTTGGGGGTATCCGGGGAGGTCCCAGGGGGTCCCAAGAGTTCAAGGTGTCTCAGGATTTTGGGGAGGGGTTCAGGGGTGACCCAGGGTGGGAGGGTCCTAGGGAGTCCCAGAGGGTTTGGAAGCGTCCCAGAGGGTTCCAGGGGGTTTTGGGGGGGTCCAGGGGGTTTGGGGGTGTCCCAGAGAGGGTTCCAGGGGGTTTTAGGGTGCCCAGAAGGGGGTTTGGGGAGGGTGTCCCAGAGAGGGTTCCAGGGGGTTTTTGGGGGTGCCCAGGGGTTTGGGGGTGTCCCAGAGGGTTCCAGGGGTTTTGGAGGTGCCATGGGGCTTTGGGGTGTCCCAGAAGGTTCCAGGGGTTTTAGGGGGGTCCAGGGGTGTCCCCACCGTCAGACATGATGATGATGACGTGGCGGGTGCTGTTGGTGACAGGGGGGGTCAAGGCCCCTCCTCATCTCCACCTGCTCCTGCAGCACCAGCTGCTCGTACACGGCCCGCAGCGCTCCCGCCAGGTTGGTCCCGGGGCCTGGGAGTGGGCTGGGGGGGCACGGAGGTCACTGCACCCCAGAGACCCCCAGCACCTCAACGTCCCCCGGCACCTCAACACTCCCAGCACCCCCAAATCCTCCCTGCACCCCGATCCCCCAGCTCACACACAGCCTGCAGGGCTTGCCCAGGTTTGTACCAGGGGTTGGGGCTGGGGTGAGGGGGAACAGGGGGTCACTGCACCCCAAAGACCCCCAACACCCACAGAGCCCTCAGGAGAAACCCTGAGAGCCCCAGGCCCCCAACTCCCCAAAGCCCCCAGCTCCTGTCCCAGCCCCCCAACCCCCCATAGCAACCCCAAAACCCCCAGCTCCTGTCCCAGCCCCCCCACCTTCGAAGTTGAGGTTCTGGAGCTGCTGCTGGACCCAGTCCCCTTGGCCGCCTGGGGGTCCGTGGGGCTCAGGACCACCCGCGCCTCCGTCCGAAGGTGATGATCCCGTAGTGGGGGCTGGCCCCGTAGCTGGCGATCTGGGAAGGGTCAGGGGGCTCAGGGAGGGCTCTGAGGGGCTGTGGGGAGGGGTTGGGGAGGTCTGGGGGTCCCACCTTCTCCACCAGCTCGCTGAGGGCGTTGCGGGCGTCCTGGAAGTCAGTGCGGCCGACGCTGCGCAGGCGTCGAGCACCAGGAACACGTTGAGGCGGCGCCGGGGTCAGGCGGATCCGCCGCTTCTGCGTGGCCTCTGCGAGGGAGGGCCCAAAAACGCTGTGACATCATCCCCCTCCACCCCACCACCACGGGGGTTCACGAGGAGCATCACCTACCCCCAAACACCTCTGTGAGCGCCGTGGAGCCCCGCGGGACTCTCAGCCACACATAAAGCTCTCCCTACAGCCCCCATAGCCCCCATAACCCTCTCTAGAGCCACCCTACAGCCCCCACTAGCCCCCATAACACTCTTTATAGCCACACCACAGTCCCCCCATAGCCACCCTATAGTCCCCATAACCCACTCTACAGCCCCCTATAGCCCCCATAACACTCTCTATAGCACCCTATAGCCCCCATAACCACCTCTTACAGCCCCCTATAGCCCCCATAACACCTCTATAGCAACCTATAGCCCCCATAACACCCTCTATAGCACTCGTGTGGCTCCCCATAAAGCCACTCTATAGCCACCTATAACCCCCATAACCTACTCTACAGCCACCCTATAGCCCCCCTACAGTCCCCCCATAAGCCCTCTATAGCACTCCTGTAGCCCCCATAACACTCTCTATAGCCCCCTATAGCCCCCAAAACCCCCTCTATAGCTCCCCTGTGGCCCACCCATAAGCCACTCTATAGCCCATCCATAACCTCTCTATAGCCCCCATAACCCCCATAGCCCCCATTTAACCCCCATATTTCCCCCCACCCCAAGCCCCCACCTTGGGTCGTGTTGGCCTCGGCCACCTCCACGGTCTGGGTGGGGACGCCAGAAACTCCTGGGCCCACTTCCTCGGGGCTGTCCAGCACTTTGGGGTCTGGGGGGGACACGGCGGGGGTCAGTCAGTCGGTCATCCCCGACCAGGCTCAGACCCCCTGATAACCCCCAGGACCCCAGAGCCCCCGATGTGTCCTTAGGGCTGAGACCCCCAAAAAACACCCCAGGACCCCCAGAGCCCCCGGTGTGTCCTCAGGGCTGGGACCCCCAATAATCCCCAGAGCCCCCGGGTGTCCTCAGGGCTCTGACCCCCAATACCCCAATAACCCCCAGAGCCCCCGGTGTGTCCTCAGGGCTGGGACCCCCAATAATCCCCAGAGCCCCCGGGTGTGTCCTCAGGGCTGGGACCCCCAATAACCCCCAATAATCCCCAGAGACCCCGGGTGTGTTCTCAGGGCTGAGACCCCCAATAACCCCCAGAGCCCCCGGTGTGTCCTCCAGGGCTGGGACCCCCAATAATCCCCAGAGCCCCCAGGTGTGTCCTCAGGGCTGGGACCCCCAATAACCCCCAATAATCCCCAGAGCCCCCGGGTGTGTTCTCAGGGCTGAGACCCCCAATAACCCCAGAGCCCCCGGGTGTGTCCTCAGGGCTGGGACCCCCAAATAACCCCCAGAGTCCCCAGGTGTGTCCTCAGGGCTGAGACCCCCAAATAACCCCCCAGAGTCCCCCAGGTGTGTCCTAAGGGCTGAGACCCTCCATCAACCCCCAGGACCCCCCAGACCCTGAGACCCCAGGATTCCCGTGCCCCCTGTGCCCCCATGCCCTCACCACGGCAGCGGGCTCGGTCCCACCCAAACCCCAAGCCCCACGTGCCCCCATCCCTCACCACGACACCGGGGCTCTGTCCCGCTCCAGACCCCGAGCCCCCGTGCCCCCATCCCCTCACCGCGACAGCAGGCTCAGTCCCGCTCCAGACCCTGGCCCCAGGACCCCCAGGACCCCCACTCGCCCTGGGACCCCCATGCCCTCACCACGACACCAGGGCTCTGTCCGCTCAGACCCCGAGCCCCCATTGCCCCCCGTGCCCCCATCCCCTCACCACGACAGCGGGCTCTGTCCCGCTCCAGACCCCCTCCGAGGCAGCGCTCTGCCCGAGCCCAGCAGCTCAGCCCGGGCCTGCAGCGGTACCGCACGACCCCTCCACGGAGAGCGCGCCAGGACCCTCCATGGACCCCCGCGGGCACGGCCAGGGCCAGGCACGCCCCGCTGCGGGGAGACAAGGGGCGTCACGGGGGATCGAGGTGGGAGACCCCAAATCCCCCAGCCACCCCCAAGGACATCCCCAGGACTGCCCCATCCCCACCCGGGACCCTCCATGGACCCCTCCCAGGGAGCAGAGCAGGAGTCCCCCAGGGACTCCCAGCGCCCCCGGACTCCAACGAGCCCCCAGGACCCCCAGGAAGCCTCCAGGAGCCTCCCAATGACACTTGGGACCACCCTCCCATAAGGACCCTCCCAAGGGACCCCAGAAGGACTTGGGGACCCCGAAGGATTTGGGGTCTCAGAAGGATTTAGGGCAGATTTGAGGTCTCCAGAAGGACTCAGGTGAGGGATTTGGGGTTTCCAGAGAGTTTGGGGTCTCAAAAGGATTTAGGGTGAGTTTGGGGTCTCCAGAAGGATTTGAGGTCTCGAGGATTTGGGGTCTCAGCTGGATTTCGGTGGTTGGGGTCTCCAGATGGATTTCGGGTGGATTTGGGGTCTCCGGAGGGATTTAGGGCAAGTTTGGGGTCTCCAGAGGGATTTGGGGTCTCCAGCTGGATTTAGGGAAGGATTTGGGGTCTCCCGGAGGGATTTAGGGGGTTATTCGGAGTTTCCCAGAAGGGATTTAGGGCGGGGACCCCAGAGGATCTGGAGCCTCCTGGAACCCCTCCCCAGGACCCCTAAGCCCCCCTGTCCCCTTACATCCATCGTCGCAGACGGGGTCAGGGCCGTCCCAGCGCCCCGGCCCTGCAGACGCGCTGGGAGGGCCCGCGCAGCTCGGAGGCCCTCGAAGCAGCCGAAGGTCAGGACCGAGCCCGGGGGTGCCGCCCCCCGCGGCCAAAACCAGCCCTGCTCGAACTCCAGCGGCTCCGGGCACCACACGGCTTGAGTTTGGGGGGAGAGGTGAGACCCCAGGACCCCAGGATCCCCAAATACCCACACACCACGGCTTGAGTTTGGGGGAGAGAGTGAGATCCCCAGGACCCCCAAATACCCACACACTGGCTGAGTTTGGGGGAGAGAGAGTGAGACCCCAGGACCCCAGGACCCCAAATACCCACACACCCCACACGGTTGAGTTTGGGGGAGAGGTGAGACCCCAGGACCCTCCAGGATCTCCCAATACCCCACCCACACGGCTTGAGTTTGGGGGAGAGAAGGTGAGACTCCCCCAGGACCCCCAATACCCACACACCCACGGCTTGAGTTTGGGGGGGAGAGGGTGAGACCCCCAGGACCCCAGGACCCCCAATACCCACAGGGACACCCTCACCCCACACGGCTGGGGTTTTTTTGGGGGAAGAGAGGTGAGACTCCCAGGACCCCAGGATCCCCAAATACTCACAGGGACCCCCAAACACCCACAGAGACCCCTCCAAACACCCACAGGGACCCCCTCCCCAACACAACGGGACCCCCGGACCCCCAGAAACACCCACAGGGACCCCTAAACACCCACAGGGACCCCTCAGGACCCCCAAATACTCACAGGGACCCTCCAAACACCACAGGACCCCCGAGATCCCCAGAAACACCCACAGCGATCCCCCAAACACCCACAGGGACCCGAAATACTCTAGGACCCCCGTCCCCACGGGACCACCCCAAGGACCCCTCCCCACCAGGACACGCCCCCTCCCCCAACAAAGACCCTCCAGCCCCCACGTGTCCCATAACATCCCCCGACCCTCCCTCCCCAAATCCCCCCCAGCCCCCATGCCCACCGTGGCGGCAGGGAGCCCCTCCCAGGCAGGGGTCCCAGGTGCCGTCAGGCCGCAGCGGCCAGCCGGTGGGGAGTGGGGGCAGTGCCAGGGGGCAGCAGTACAGCAGCACCTCCCCCCGCCACCAGCTCCCCGTGCCCCCACGATGGGCACCTGAGCCAGGTCACAGCGAGGGGGCAGCGCTGCAGAGGGCCGCAGAGGGGCACCTGGGGGGGCACAGGGGGCAGTGAGGGGATTGGGGGACAGGGGGGGGACAGGGGGCGAGGTGAGGGGGATTGAGGGAGCTGGGGGGGACAGGGGCGGTGAGGAGGGAGATTGGGGAGCAGGGGGGACAGGGGAGCGGTGAGAGGGATTGAGGAGCAGGGGGGACAGGGGAGGTGAGGGGGATTGGGACGAGGCCAGGGGGGGTGGGGGGTCGGGGGCAGGGGGGGCTGGGGTGGAGGATTGGGGGGTTTGGGTGGGTTCGTGGGGGTGGGTTTGGGGGCTCAGGTGGGTCAATGGGCAGGTTTGGGGAGGGCTGGAGGTTTGGGGTCTCAGGGGTGCAGGTTTGGGCGCTCAGGTGAGTCCATGAGGCAGGTTTGGGGCAGGTTTGGGGTCTCAGGTGAGTCCATGGACAGGTTTGGGGTCTCAGGGGATCTGGGGGCAGGTTTGGGGGCTCAGGTGAGTCCATGGGCAGGTTTGGGCGTCTCAGGTGTAGTCCATGGGGCAGTTTTGGGGGCAGGTTTGGGGTCTCAGGGGTGTCAGGGGCAGGTTTGGGGTCTCAGGGGGATCTGGGGGCAGGTTTGGGGTCTCAGGGGGATCTGGGGGCAGGTTTGGGTGTTCAGGTGAGTCCATGGGGCAGTTTTGGGGCAGGTTTGGGGTCTCAGGGGGCAGGTTTGGGGTCTCAGGGGTGTCAGGGGGCAGGTTTGGGGTCTCAGGTGAGTCCATGGGCAGGTTTGGGGCAGGTTTGGGGTCTCAGGGGTCACTGACCGTGGGCCAGGGGCAGCAGCAGCAGCAGCAGCAGCAGGAGGGGGAGGCCGAGCTGAGCCCTGGCCACGTCCATCTGTCCGTCCATCTGTCCCTCCACCCGTCCCTCCACCCGTCCCGGGCCGGTCTGTCCGTCTGTCCCAAGGTGGGGGGGGGGAATTACAACACCTGCCCCCCCTCCCCCACGGGCTCCAGGAAATCACGGGGAGGGAGGAAAGGCAAAGGGGGGGAGGGGAGGAGTCCACGGGGGGGTCAGGGCGGTGACCGGGGGGGCACGAGGGGCCCTCGGGGCTGAGCAAACACCCCGGGGGGAAAGGGCCTGAAATTATTTTAGATTTACTCAAAAACGCCCCTGGGGGGCCCAAAGAACGTCCCAAAACACACCTGGGGTGCCCAAAACACCTCTGATGTGCTCGAAACGTTCCCCAAAACACCCCCCGGGGGGCAAATAAAGTCACCAAAGCAGCTCTGGGAGGGCCTAAAATGCCTTGGATGCCCTCCAAACCACCTTTAATGTCCTCAAAAAACACCCCTGGGGGGACAAAGAACCTAAAACCCACCTGGAGGGCCCAAAGAACGACCTAAAACACACCTGGGGGCCCCAAAACATCTTTGGGGTCCTCGAAACTGCCTTTAATGTGCCCAAAAAAACACCCCCTGGGGGCCACATGAAGTCCTAAAAACATCTTCGGTGTTCTCCAGAAAAATTTGGGGTCATTTGAGGTCCCACAGAGGGGTTTGGAAACATTTGGGGTTTTCCAGACGGATTTTGGCTCTCCAGAGGGGTTCTGGGGTCATTTGAGGTCTCTCAGAGGGGTTTTGGGGTCACTTGGGGTCTCTCAGAGGGATTTTGGGGTCTCTCAGAGGGGTTTTGGGGTCATTTGGGGTCTCTCAGAGGGGTTTTGGGGTCACTTGGGGTCTCTCAGAGGGATTCTGGGGTCATTTGGGGTCTCCCAGAGGGGTTTTGGGGTCTCCCAGGGGGATTTCCGTTTCCCGGGGCGTTTCCAGAGCAGCCCAGCGGGAATTTGAGGCTTCTCAGCGCTCCTCAGGGAGGATTCGAGGCGATTTTTTTTGGGGGGGGGGTCGATTTTGGGGCCCCCCCCCCGGGAAGTGACCTCTTCCCGTTGCCATGGCAACGCCGCCCGGCGCCGTCGCGGCGCGATGACGTCACTCGGCCCGCGCCCCGCGCGCGAGGGGGCGTGTCCCGCGCGGTCCCGTCATGCCCCGCGGCGGGGGGCGGGGTCGCCCTGCTTTCTCGGCCAGGTCCCCCCATCCCCGTCCCACCCCGCCACGATCCCACAATGCCCCGCGCGCGGATCCCTCCTTCCCCCCACGTTTCCGGTGCCGTCGCGGCCCGCGGCTCGAGGCGGTAACGGCCGAGAGAGGGCGAGCGAGGGGAGGGCGGGGGCGGTCGGCGGCCAATGGGGGGCGCAGGGGGGGCGCAGGGGGCCCGCGGGGACCAATCGGGAGGCAGCCCGGGAGAGGCGGGCGCGGGGCGCGCGCGGTGACGTCACCAGCGGCCTTGTCTTCCACCCCCCCTCCCCATCCCTACTCCAGGTGCGGCCACGTGATTCCCGGCGGCCCCCCACCCCCATCATCCCCCCCAGTGCTCCCAGTGCTCCCAGTAACGGCCTCCGGGCTCCCGGTGACCCCCCAGTGACCCCCGGTCATCCCTGTCCCTCCTTCCCAGTGCTCCCAGTAACATCCCAGGGCCCCTCCCAGTGCTCCCAGTAACGGCCTCTGGGCTCCCAGTGACCTCCCAGTGATCCCTGTGCCTCCTTCCCAGTGCTCCCAGTAACCCCCGGCCATCCCTGTCCCTCCTTCCCAGTGCTCCCAGTAACATCCCAGGGCCCCTCCCAGTGCTCCCGGTAAATCCTCTTCCCAGGCCCCCCCAGTAACTTCTTCAGGTGCTCCCATTTTTTCCCAGCGCTCCCAGTAACCCTTCCCAGTGCTCCCAGTCTCTTCAGGAGGCCCTCCCACTGTTCCCAGTAGCTCGTCCCTTTGCTTCCAGTGCTCCCAGTAAGCCCTTCCGTTCTTCCCCCAGTAACCCTCCCAGTTTCCCCCTCTCTCCCTCCCAGTGCTCCCAGTCCTGTCAGTGGCCTTCCCAGTTCCCCCAGTGACCGTCCCTGGTGCTCCAAGTACCTGTATCATCCCCTCCCAGCATTCCCCATCCTCCCAGTGACCCCTGCCAGTGCTCCCAGTACCCGCTCCTGTTCCCCCAGTGATCTTCCCAGTACTCCCAGTGACCTTTCCCAGTCCCTCCAGTCTCCCTTCCCATCGCTCCCAGTCCCAGTTCCGTCCCCTCCCATCACTCCCAGTGCCCTCAGCGACCCTCCCAGTTCCCCCCAGTGCCCCCCAGTCCTTCCCAGTGACCCTCCCAGCCCCTCCAGTCTCCGTTCCCGTCACTCCCAGTGTCTCCCAATCCTTCCCAGTGCCCTCCACCCTCTCCCAGTGCCCCCCACTCCCATCCCAGTTCCCCCCAGTGGCCCTCCCTGCCCCATCCAAGTTCCCTCCAGTGCCCTCTAATCCTTCCCAGTCCTCCAGTGCCTCCCAGTGCCTCCCACTCCCCTCCCAGTGCCCCCAAGTGACCTCCCTGCCCCATTCCAGTTCCCCCAGTGCCTTCCACTCTCCCAATCCTCCACTCCTCCCAGTGACCCTCCTGCCCCATTCCAGTTCCCCTGTGCCCCCCAGTCCCCTCCACTCCCTCCCAGTCCTCCACTCTCCCAGTGTCCAGTGCCACTCACCCCCACTCCCCTCCCAGTGCCCCCCCAGTGCCCCCACCCCCAGTGCCTCCCACTCCCTTCCACTCACCCCTCAGTGCCCCCAGTCTCTTCCACTCCCCTCCCAGTGCCTCCCACTCCCTTCCACTCCCCTCCCAGTGCCTCCCAGTGCATCCCACTCCCACTCACTCCCCTCCCAGTTCCCCCCAGTGACCCTCCCTGCCCCGTTCCAGTTTCCCCCGGTACCTCCCACTCCCTCCACTTGCCCCCACTTCCCCCAGTGCCCCTAGTCCTCTCCCAGTGCCTCCCACTCTCCACTCACTCCCAGTGCCCCCCAGTGCCTCCCCACTCCCCTCCCAGTGCCTCCCAGTGCCTCCCAGTGCCCCCCACTCCCCTCCCAGTGCCCCCAGGCCGCGGCCATGTCGTCGTGCGCGGAGGTGCTGCGCTTCCAGCTGCCGGGGCACGAGGCGGCGGCGCTGCGCTCCATGACGCGCCTGCGTGCCGAGGAGCGCTTCTGCGACGTCACCATCGTGGCGCGGAGCCTGCGCTTCCGCGGCCACCGCGTCATCCTGGCCGCCTGCTCGCCCTTCCTGCGCGACCAGTTCCTGCTGAACCCCGCGGCCGAGCTGCGCGTGTCGCTGGCCCACAGCGCGCGCGTGCTGGCCGACCTGCTGCTCTCCTGCTACACCGGCGCCCTCGAGTTCGCCGGCCGCGACCTGGTCAACTACCTGACGGCCGCCAGCTACCTGCAGATGGAGCACGTGGTGGAGCGCTGCCGCGGCGCCCTGGCGCGCTTCATCCAGCCCCCGCCCGCCGCGCCGCCGCCGCCCGGCAAGGCCGAGGACGACGACGACGACGAGGACGACGACGACGCCGCGCCCGACGTCTGCATCGTCAAGGTGGAGCCGGCGGCGGCCGCGGCGGCGCCGCCCCCGCCGCCCCAGCCCAGGCGGTGCCGCAGGGCGGGCCGGGCGTGGGCGGCGGCGGCGCCGGAGCCCGGAGAGGCCTCCCGGGGTGCCGGGCGGGCGCGAGCGGCAGGCGTAGCGACGCAGAGCGCGCCGTTCCTGCCGCAGCTGGGCGTGGTGAAGGCGTGCTACAGCCTGGCCGAGGACGCCGAGGGCGAGGGGCTGCTCATCTTCCCCGGCCGGCGGCGGCGGCGGCTCCTCGGCGGAGGAGCCCGGGGGCGGCGCGGGCTCCGCGGGGTCTCCGGCGCCGGGGGCCTCCTGGACGGGCGGCGCCGCTGCCGCCGCCTCCGCTCCCCCCACGCCGTCGGGCGGCCCGTCGGGCTCGTCGCGCTGCGGGAAGTGCGGCGAGGCCTTCCAGGGCGTGGAGAAGCTGGTGTTCCACATGCGGGCGCAGCACTTCGTGTTCATGTGCCCGCGCTGCGGCAAGCAGTTCAACCACAGCAGCAACCTCAACCGCCACATGAATGTGCACCGCGGCGTCAAGTCCCACGGCTGCGGCGTCTGCGGCAAGAGCTTCACCCAGAAGTCCACCCTGCACGACCACCTGAACCTGCACAGCGGGGCCCGGCCCTACCGCTGCTCCTACTGCGACGTGCGCTTCGCCCACAAGCCGGCCATCCGCCGCCACCTCAAGGAGCAGCACGGCAAGACCACGGCCCAGAACGTCCTCGAGGCCGTGGCCGCCGAGGGGGGGGTCCTGCTGCGCTGACCCCCCCCGGGAGGGGCCCGGCGAGGGCCGGGGGGGTGACGGGATGGGGGCTTCCTCCCCCTCCCCACATCGGCCCTGCCACGGAGAGCTGGGCCCCTCCCTGAGACAGGGGGGATGGACCCCCTCTGGGCTGCTGGGTCCTTCCTGGGGAGGGGGGACCCCTGACATGGGGTGGGGAGTGACCCCTGGACATCTGGAGCAAAGGGGGGACCCTCCCAAAGTGATGGGAAGTGACCCCCAAAGTGATGGGGAGTGACCCCTGGACATGGGGAGCGAAGAGGGGACCCCCAAAGTGATGGGGAGTGACCCCCAAAGTGATGGGGGGTGACACTCAAGGTGAGGGGGAGTGACCCCTGGACACCTGGGTTGATTTGGAACCCCCAGAGTGATGGGGAGTGACCCTGGACACGTGGAGTGAAGGGGACCCCAGAGTGATTGGGGTGAACGCCACCCTAGACATTTGGAGCGACGGGGGAACCCCCAAAAGTGATGGGGGGGACCCCCAAAAGCGATGGGGAGCAGCCCCTGGATGTCTGGATTGATTTTGGGACCCCCTCAAGTGATGGGGAGTGACCCCTGGACACGTGGATGGGGGTTGGGGGTCCCACCTGTGTCTGGATGCCCCCTGGGATACCTGGGGACCTCCCCCCAGAGCCCCCTGGATCACTCTGGATTAGGAAGGACCCCCCCCCCACCCCATTGCTGATGGTTTTGGGGGTCCCAGGGTGGATCATGGGGTACTCTCCCCAGGTTTGGGGGTCCCACACCCCCTTGGTCCCCCCATGGACAAGGTGGAGGGGGGGGTTGTTTGCCCCTTCCCCCGGGATAAAAGGGGGGGGTCCCCCCATATTTAAGGGGGACCCCCCCCAAGGACACCCTGTAGATTTTAGGAAAGGTTGTGGGGGTCTCCTGGGAACTCCCAGAGTCCCCTTAGTTTGTAGTGATGGAGGGGGTGTTGAGGGGTGGGGGCTCTGTGGTGCGTTTTGGGGAGGGCAAAGTTTGGGGGTCCCCTTTATGGGGGTGGGGGTAGGGTTAGATTTGGGGTGGGGGGCACCCCATTGGTTGGGGAGTGTGGGGGGTGAGAGTAGGGGTTTAGAGCGTGGGAACTGTGACACCTTTTGGGGGTGGGGAGGGGGGGTCCCAGGACACTTGGGTGCCCCTTTTTGGGGGCTGGGGGTGGGAGAAGGGACCACCCTTCCTTCCCCACCCCCCTCCCCTCGGTGCCGTTTTCAGAGAGTTTTTGTATTAAACGAGTTTTAAAAAAAAAACCAAAAACACTGAAAGAAACTTGATTTGGACTTTTTTTTCGGGGAGGGTGGTGGGGAGGAGCTGGAGGGACCCCTGGGGGCAGATCGGGCCATTCGGAGCCCCCAAAATCCCCCTTTTTGGGGCGATTTTCGTGTCGCGGGAGGGGGGCGTGGCCTTGCATTGAGGGCGTGGCCTCACGGATGGGCGTGGTCGGTGGGGGCGTGGCCTCATAGAGGAGGGGGAAGACAAAGCGCTGGAGGGGCGGTGGGCGGGGCGATGCCCTAATTAGGAGAGGCCCCGCCCCTTTCGGGGCGCGGTGACGTCACGGGCGCGCGGCGCGAGCGATGGAGGCGGCGGGGAGGCGGCGAGGTCCGGGGGGATTTTTGGGGGATCCACGGCGAATTTGGGGGGTTTAGGGGGATCTCGAGTGTTGCTGGGACGGGGAGGGCTCTTTGTGCTCCGTGATGGGGGCGGGGTGGGGGCGTGGCCCCTCCTCTCACCCTCCTGTGCTCCCCACCCTCTCCCCCATCCCCAGGATCCCCCCGTTGGGACCCTCGTGATGGAGGCTTCGGGAGACCCCGGTGAGTGACCCCCCCTCATCCTGTCACCCCTCCCCAATTCGATCCTCCCGCTGACCCCCTTTGTCCCCACCCAGGACTCCCCCGGCAGCCCCGCCCCTGCGACCCCCCAGGCCGGGGACCCCCAGCGCCGGGACCCCGAGGAGGAGCACGGGGGGCCCAGAGGCCGGGGGCCCCGATGGGGAGGGGGCGCAGGGGCTCCCCCTGAGCGGCACCAGCCCCAAGGGCTCCCAGGTGAGGGGGCTTACGGGGGGTTCTGCGGCTTCTGGGAGGGGGTCTCAGGGGGCTGGGAGGGGCTTGGGGAGGTTTGGAGGGCATTGGGGGTGGGAGGGCTCTGGGGGCTCTCCAGGGCTTGGGGGGCTGGGAGGTGCACTGGGGCTTTTGGGGGGCGGGGGTAGGGCGGAATTTTGGGGGTTCTGGGAATTGTTTTTGGTGTTCCAGGGAGGTTTTTGGGGGAGTTTGGAGAGTTGTTTCGGGACTTTTGGGAGGGTTTGGGGCTATTTTGCAGGGGATCTCACAGCCTTTTGTCTCCCTCCCCTTCCCCCCAAGGCCACGCCACGAAGACCCTCCCGGGCTCCCCGGGCCGGGGTGGGGAGCCCCCAGGACCCCCCTGGCCCCCGAGCCGGGCCAAGATGTCCCTGACGGGGGTGGGCAAATCCCTGCCGGGGCAGAGCTTGGCCCTGCGGCTCCTCACCCTCCCGGGGGCCGCCCTGAGCCCCCGGCGCCCCCAGAGCCCCCGGCCCCCAGAGCCCCCAAGGTGCACCGGGCCCGCAAGACCATGGCCAGGCCCAGCAACGGGCAGGTGAGGAGGAGGGCTCCCTTGGTGGGACACACCCGGGGACCCCCTGGGACCCTCCTGACCCCCCAAACCCCCAAAATCCCCCAAAAGGTCCCAGAAAGCGGGTGTCGGAGATGCTGCACTTCAGGGTGTCGGACGAGCTGCGGAGCATCGGCGAGCACGGTGGGGAGGGGGCTGGGGAGGGCTCAGGAGGTCTAGGAGGGTTCTGAGGGGGTCTTGGGAGGGTCTTTTTGGGTTCTGGGGGTGCTGAGGGGGTTTGGTGCTCCCAGGGGCAGGAAGGGGTGTTTGAAGGGGTGGGGGTGGTGCTGAAGGATGGTTTTGGGTCTGGGGGTTCACCTGTGGGCTGGGGGTAAGGGGGCACAGGGCTGACCCTCTACCCCCTCCGAATTCCCTCCCAGACCCCCCAAACGCCCCAAACTGGATTACAGCCCCGAGGGGCTCCACAAGCGGCTGCAGAGACCCAGCCCCGCGCCAGCACCGAGGTGGGGACCCCTGAGCCCCCGGGACCCCCTGGGACCCCCTGGGACCCCCTGGATCCTCCTGGGACCACCCAGGAACCCCCTGACCCCCCTGGGCCCCCCCAGATCACGGTGACGGAGGAAATGGCGGCCCCCCCACCCCGGGGGTCCCGGCCCAGCGATGACTGGGACAGCGAGGGGGGAGGGGGCTTCTCCCTCTTCTACGACGGGTTCAGCGTCGACGGGCACGGCGACTCCGACAGCAAGGTGGCACTGGGGGCACTGGGGGGCACTGGGAGATCAGTGGGAGGGACTGGGCAGGATTTGTGGGGAACTGGGAGGACTGGGGGCAACTGGGAGGGACTGGGGGGCACTGGGAGGGCAGTGGGAGAAAGCGTGGGGCACTGGGAGGGCATTGGGAAGGAGTGGAGGGGCATTGGGAGAGATTTGGGGGGCACTGGGAGGGATTTGGGGGGCAATGGGGGACACTGGGAGGGGCATTTGGGGGACTGGGGAGCACTGGGAGCGTTGAGGGGCACGGGTAGCACTGGGGGGCTCTGGGAAGCACTGGGGGGCATTTGGGGGGATTGGGAGCACTGGGGGACACTGGGAAGCACTGGGGGGGCTCCTGGGGGTTCACCTGGGCCCCCCCAGTTAATTCGAGGTGTGGGGGGTTGTCAGTCTGAGGGGAGGTGGTCGGGGAGGTCCTCAGTGAGGAGGAGGAGGAAGAGGAAGAGGAGGAAGAAGAAGAAGATGAGGAGGAGGAGGAAGAGGAGGACGAGGAGGAAGAGGAGGAGGACGAAGAGTCGGGAAACGCCTCGGACAGGGTGAGGGGGGGGCGGGAGGGGGAGCTCGGGGTAGTTTGGGGAGGGGTCAGGGGGGTCCCTGACCGGCCCCCCCGGCCCCCCCAGAGCGCGTCGAGCGCCCGGCGCAGGGCCCGGCGCCGCTGGAAGGACAGCCCGTGGCTCAAACCCGCCCGCAAGCGCAAGAGGAAAGACCCCCGGGGCAAGGACAGAGGTGGGGAGGGGGGAGACCCCCCACAATGGGGAGGGGGAGCTCGGGGACTGAGGGAAGGGGGAGGGGCTTTGGGAGGGAGGCATTTGGGGAGGGGGAGGCTCAAAAGTCGTAAATTTGGGGAGGGCGAGCCTTGAAACTCATAAATTTGGGGTGGAGCAGCCTCAAAACATAAATTTGGGAGGGGGCAGCCTCGAAACTCATAATGTGGAGAGGGGGAGATTTGAAACAGATTTTTGGGAATGGGGGAGCCTTGAAATAGATTTTTGGGGAGAGGGGAGCCTTGAAACAGATTTTTGGGGGGGAATCTTGAAACAGATTTTTGGGGATGGGGGAGCCTTGAAACAGATTTTTTGGGAGGGGGAACCTTGAAACAGATTTTTGGGGAGGGGGAGCCTTGAAACAGATTTTTGGGGGGGGGAACCTTGAAACAGATTTTTGGGGAGAGGGGAGCCTTGAAACAGATTTTTGGGGAGAGGGGAGCCTTGAAACAGATTTTTGGGGAGACAGGAGCCTTGAAACAGATTTTTGGGTTGGGGGGAGACTTGAAACAGATTTTTTTGGGGGGGGAACCTTGAAACAGATTTTTGGGTAGAGGGGAGCCTTGAAACAGATTTTTGGGGAGGGGGGAGCCTTGAAACAGATTTTTTGGGGGGGGAACCTTGAAACAGACTTTTGGGTAGAGGGGAGCCTTGAAACAGATTTTTGGGTTGGGGGGAGCCTTGAAACAGATTTTTGGGTAGAGGAGAGCCTTGAAACAGATTTTTGGGGAGGGGGGAGCCTTGAAACTCATAAATTTGCCTCCCCAGTGCCCGGGGCCGCCCCCGTGGGCCCCCCCAGCGAATACACCGAAGTGCCCCTGGGGTGTCTCCAGATCCCAGGGGGAGGGGCCTTGTCCCCCCAACCCACAGGTGAGGCCACACCCCCCATGGGCACACCCAATGTGGCCACGCCCCTCAGTGTTCTGACCACACCCTCGGCCGTGTAGCCCCTCCCACACCTTCTGTGTCCATCAGGCCACGCCCACTATGGTTAGGCCACACCCCAAACACCTGGTCCTACCCCCTCCCCATTGGTCACGCCCACTTGTGGCCCCGCCCATCTCAGGTTTCTGGTCACGCCCCTTCTCTTAGGGCTCCTCCCCCCACACAACCCTTTGTGAACATGCCCACTTTCCTTAGGCCACACCCCCAAACTGAGCCCACCCCCTCCTTTTAGGCCACACCCCCAAACTGAGCCCACCCCCTTCTTTTAGGCCACACCCCCTGTAAGGCCACACCCCTTTTCCCCAGCCTTGCCCCTCTGAGGTCACACCCCTGCTCATACCCAGGCCCCGCCCCCTTCGCGAGGCCACGCCCCTTCACTCACCCCCCACCCCTTTGCCCCCAGGCCCCCGAGGCCGAGCGCTCGAGGAGCTGCCGCTCTGCTCGTGCCGCATGGAGGCCCCCAAGGTGGAGCGGGGCGGGGACGGCCGGGGGCTCTGCATGGCCACCGAGAGCGTGGATGGCCAGGTGGGCGCCCCAAAAATGGGGGAGGCACCCCAAAAATGGGGAGGGGCACCCCAAAAACGGGGGGGGTACCCCAAAAATGGGGAGGGACCACAAACTTGGGAGGAATTCCAAAAGTTGAGGGGCATCTTAAAAACTGGGGGAGGGATCCCAAGACCTTGGGGGGGGAGGGATTGCTGGGGGGACACAGGAAACTTGGGGTGGGGGGATCCAGGAATTTTGGGAGGCTCAGGAATTCCAGGGAGACCCGTGAACTTGGAGGGGACTCAGGAATTTTTGGGGGTGGCCCAGGAATTTTTTTAGGGGGACCCAGGAATTCACTGACAACTCCCCCCCACTGCCCGATTCCTGGGTGCCGATTTCAGGGCATTGATCCCCTGATTTCGGGGCTTTGCCCCCCCCCGATTTCAAGGGGGTTTCCCCCCAATTTCAGGGCACTTTTTCCCCAATTCTGGGACTCTACTCCCCAATTTCAGGGCTCTGACCCCCTTTTCCCCCATTCCCAGCTGAGTGGCTGTGGCAGCGCCATCCTGAAGCGGGAGACGATGCTGCCCTGGGGGTGCTCTGCCCCCAATTTCAGAGTGTTTTCCCCCCAATTTCGGGGTGCTGAACCCCAATTTCGGGGTGCTGAACCCCAATTTCGGGGTGCTGACCCCCCTTTTTCCCCCCCTCCCTAGCTGAGTGGCTGTGGCAGTGCCATCCTGAAGCGGGAGACGATGCGGCCGTCGAGCCGCGTGCCCCTCATGGTGCTGTGCGAGAGCCACCGCGCCCGCATGGTCAAGCACCACTGCTGCCCCGGCTGCGGCTACTTCTGCACCGCCGTGAGTCTGGGGGGCCCTGAAACACCCCAAAAACCCCGGATGGGGGGTCCCCACCAGTCCTACAACCTGGGGTGGGGTCCACACCGGTCCTACAACCCGGGGTGGGGGGCGCGGAAACCCCTTAAAGCTCTGAGGGACATTCCCATTGGAGATCCCCACATTCCCTTTGGTGCTCCTTCTCCCCCAAGGGTTTTGGAGTCACTCTGAGTCCCCCCTTTGGGGTTTTTGCCCCCCAGGGGACGTTCCTGGAGTGCCACCCCTCCCCCAGGGGGGTTTTGGGGTCACTCTGAGCCCCCCCTTCGGGGTTTTTCCCCCAGGGGACGTTCCTGGAGTGCCACCCCACCCTGGGGGGTTTTGGGGTCCCCCTGACCCCCCCATTTTGGGGTTTTTGCCCCCCCAGGGGACGTTCCTGGAGTGCCACCCCACCCTGGGGGGTTTTGGGGTCCCCCTGACCCCCCCATTTTGGGGTTTTTGGCCTCCCAGGGGACGTTCCTGGAGTGCCACCCCACCCTGGGTGGTTTTGGGGTCACTCTGAGCCCCCATTTTGGGGTTTTTGCCCCCCCAGGGGACGTTCCTGGAGTGCCTCCCCAGGGGGGTTTTGGGGTCCCCCTGACCCCCCCATTTTGGGGTTTTTGCCCCCCCAGGGGACGTTCCTGGAGTGCCACCCCGACGTGCGCATCGGGCACCGCTTCCACCGGGGCTGCGTGTCCCGCCTGGGGGGTCTCATCTTCTGCCCCCACTGCGGCGAGGACGCGTCCGAGGCTCAGGAGGTGACCCTGCCCCGCTCCGAGGGACCCCGGCCCCGCCCTGCCCCCGAGCACCGGCCCGCAGGAGGCCGGCCGACGCCCCACCCCAGGTGGGGACTTTGGGGGGACACACGGAGGGTTTGGGGGAGTTCTGAGGGCAATAGAAGGGTTTGGGGGAGGCTTTTAGGGTCTTCTGGGGGGTGCAAAAGGGTTTCGGTGGCCTGGAGAGGGGGGTTGTGGGTGGAGGGTTGGGGTGGGGAGCGGTGATCGGGGGGTGTTTGGGGGTGTTTTGGGGTGTTTTTTGGGGGTGTTTTTTGGGTGTTTTGGTCTGGTTTTAGGTGTGTTTTGGGGTGTTTTTGGGGGTATTTTGGTGCATTTTTGTGATGTGTTTTAGGGTGGTTTTGGGGTGGTTTTGGGGTGTTTTGGGGTGGTTTTGGGAGTGTTTTGTTTTTTGGGGGTGTTTTTGGGGTGTTTTGGTGTGGTTTTTAGGGTGGTTTTTTGGGGAGTGTTTTGGGGTGTTTTGGTCTGGTTTTTAGGGTGTTTTCAGGGTGTTTTTCGGGGGATGTTTTTCGGGTGCCCTGACCTTCCCTCTCCCCTCCCCAGTGCCC